CTATTTAGTTCTAAATATACTTGAAATTCCTCCATTTCAAATTCGATTTGAACCAAAGATAGGGGATTTTTTAGGCTCTTAGATTTGTATTTAGTATTTCGTATTTATATTAGGATTAGGGTGTAACCTATAAGTACTTAATTCATTTTAGTTTCTAGTTGCTTCAAACAATGAGTTGAGTATTAAGCAGTGATATTTCCTTCCTTGGTTCTATCTCTTCTTTCCACAATTTCCTTTGTTTCTCCCTCCTTTCCCTGTTTTTCTTTACTATCTTCATTCTCCCTCTTTCATGCTCTTGCATTAAAATTAGATATATTCTCTTTGATTTACTACTTACATGCTGATATTTGAGAAAGAATCTTATTCCCCTTCCTCTCCCTCTTCCCCTCCGCCACCCCTCTCTCTCTCTCTCTCACACACACACACATACACGCACATGTACACGCGAACGCAAGCACATCTTACTCTCCCCTCTTCTGCATTCGGCTAATATATTCATTTTACTCAAATGAATTGATCATGAACCTAGCCATCCATACCATCTTAAAGGGCAGGGGACTATTTCTGTCTGGTCTTTCTATTTTTAATAACTTCACAATTTATGCTAGATTACTACCTGTGGATTCTACATGTATACTGGGTTCACACCCTTTCTGCTTGCTTCTAATGATTGGTTACTTATAAGAAAATAATATTTAACAAATAAGACAATAAAATGTTATCATCCTGCCTAGTGGAGTTCAAACAGATGATACTAACATTCATCTATTGTGCACTTTCTGCTTTTCATTGTCAATAATTTTATATTTTAAACATCCAGATTTCTTATAATGAGGTCTATACTTTATGCCAGATTTCCTCCTAGACAGTTATTATTAAAAGTGGCCGTACCAACACAGTGGCATATCATTTTATGCTGACTTGCACTCTGATGTGATTATTCCATTGTGTATCAGGTAATATAGTTGCATTGCTTCGTTCTTTCTTCGGTAACCTCCCACAAGAATGGCTAGAGAGAACGCATGTCATTATTAAACATCTCAGGCCGGTAACTTCAGTTGCTATGTTGCGAAAAACATTCCGTATAATGGGCCCCTTGCTTCCAAGACTTGCCAATGCTCATAATCTTTTCAACAGGGTATAACAGCTTGTTTGTCATATCTTTTTGAATGCTTTTCTCTAGAGGAGTTAGGTTTCTGTTTTACTGGAGGCGTCTTCGTGTTTCATGAATTTTTCTTCTCAATTGCTCACCTAAGATTTGACAAGCTTTTGGTTGTGGAGGTTTTATCTTGAATATGAAATTATCACTTCATATAAAGTGTGACGTCCACTTTCGAGATTCTAAGTTAGCAAACTTGTTCTTTCAATGGTAATTTATCAACATGCTTGCACTGCTGTAGCTTGTAATCGCATCTACCCCTTTCATTTCTAGTTGATTTCTAGTTGTCCTTTGCTCTGGTGCATCATTAGGTATTACATTGCAAGCCCAAACAATTTAATAAAAATTCAATAATCATCCAAGTTATTATCGTCTTATTGTAATTAAATAAATCTTCAAATACCTATTTTCATCAATTAAGGTAAAAATAAATTTTTAAAGATTCGATTGGATTAAAATAAATGTTTACGGATAAATGATTATTGAATTTTTGTTCGAAAATCTTTTTGCCAAAAAAAAAATCCTTCAATTGGTTCCATCTACACCATACAAATAACAATTATTTTATCTTACTAGATGGCAATTGGGAATTGCTGCACATTTTGACAGATATGATGATGTTATTAATCTGAAAACGAAAAGTATATGGAATGTGAAATGAGAGGATAGGAGAAAGAAGCACACACACAGACATAGGAGAAAGAAGCACACACAGACAGAGTGCAAAATATTCATCTCGAAAACTAAAGGTGTTAAAACCCTAAATCTCCAAATTATTACAGTGTTTAGACTTGTACATCAACCCCAAGAAGAGACTCTTTTTGGTGTTATAACAAATTATATGGCAAGATGATTTAGCAAAATGCTTATGTTCTAAATAAAACATCAAATAGGATGTTGACATGCTTGGATGTTTGATTCTGTATAGAATCTTTAGTAGAAAAAGAAAGGAAAGAGGACACCTTGGCTGATATTGTGGTTAGGTCACCAATTCATCTCTAAACCATTTGAGACAAGATTTGCCTTCCAACTGCTATTTGGGAGCATTCCCTTAATGACAACAAAAAAAGGTGCAAGTTCCCCATGTTTGTAATTTTGCCAAAATTTGATTAATTTGATGGAAATGATTGGGTGTCTTGTGATTTTATTGTGGACCTGTTCAAACATATTTTCTCCATTTCTCTACCACAACAAGCGTAGTAAGTCCATTGTTGTTCCTGGTTAGATTCCTTATAACTAATTTGCTTTTGTCTTTCAGGTTGTCTTTACTTTCAAATACGCTGGTGGATGTGTTCGGGAACAACTCCCAGCCACCAGTTCCAGTGGATGCGTCAGAAATAACGGATCTCATTGATTTCCTGTAAGTACTAGTTTTTTTCCCCCTTGGTAGAAGGTTTGCTCTTTCCCTTATCTTTCCTTAAAGTAATTAGATATATGCCGTTCATGTTCTTTTCAGTCATCATGTCATCCACTTTGAAGGACAAGGAGGGCCTGTGCAGCCTACCAGCAAGCCTAGGCCAGAGGTGTTGGCTCTTTGTGGAAGAGCTGCCGAAAGTCTACGTCCCGTTGTACCGCAACTTCTATCCCACTTGAAGCCTGATATTAACTCTGCAATATATGCTGCTACCCATCCAAAGTTAGTTCAGAATCCCTCCTGACAATTGGTTGCCCACCGTCCTTCATAAATTGATTGCATTTTGGCCACACTTTTATCACCAAAGAAAGTCTGTACTTCACCGCGTCATCCGGTGTCAACGCAGAATCGAAGTGCTTTCCACCTTGATCACAGAGATAAGGGCACTATTTTGATTTTTGAGACTTGGACCCGGGGCTGCCGCTGTTGTTTTCGATGCCATTATAGAAAATAACCAATGGACTTTAGCAAAAAACTTAGACGTAGGTGCTTTCTGATCAAGTTTCAAGCATTGACAAATCAATAGCATTTTGTTCTGATTGATCTAGGTGTAGAGTTAGGTTCACGTCTTCTTTTTTTTTTCGCTTGTAAACCATTTTCTTAGCTGAAAACCATCTTTTTACGAAATTGAGATAATCATGTGCATAAATGCTGTGGCCTCGTTTTAAGTTTTTCTCTTTCCTCTAGTGGGCACGACTGCTGTTACGTAAATGTGATAATTTAAAATATAATATAAAAATAATATAATTTAAAATTTTAATAATTAATATTATAAATTTAATAAAATTAAAAAAATATTATATCAAAATAAATTTTAACATATAATTTTTTTATATAATATAATATATATTTTAATATTTTATATGATATAAATATACAAATCAATCGATGATTCCTAAAATCTAGTAGAAAGCATGTAAAAGACTGAGGGTGTGGTCCGAAACAATGCATGAAAAGTCAATGGGGTTTTTTATTTATTTCTGCATATTAATCTTTAACTAGAAATGGGCCCGATGTAGGAGGTAATTTTTTATTTCAAAGGGACAAATATTCTTTGCTAATTATTTTGAAGGGAATATTCTTTGATAATTTAAAAGGAAAAGGAGTTATTATTTTATAACATATACTATAAGTTGAACATTATCCCAATTATATAATTTTAAAAATAATATTTAGGGAAAGGGAAGAGAGAATTCCTTAAAGAATAGCCGCATTAAACGCTCGACATGAACCTAGCAAATTAATTTCTGACAAGAGGTTTTACTCGCTAGGTTATGGTCATTTTGGTTATTAAAATTATAATTACTCGCTAGGTTTTTTTTTTTTACTGGAATTTGGAAGTCCAATAGAAAATTTGTTTCTCATAGCAGTTATATTTTTCAATTTTATCCATGCTTTTTTTTTTATCCTTATTTTCTGGTACATTTGATTTTTTTTATTTTATATATATTTTTTAAAAATAATAATTTTATTAATTTAATATAACAATTAAATTTTATCAATTTAATATATTTAGACATTAAATATAAAAATTATTATATTCAAACTTTAACTAAATTTATTATATCAAAATTATTAGTTTAAAGTCTTTAATTATAATTTTCTCTTCTCATAATAATTTATCTCATTATTATAATTATTTTTATATCTAAATATATATCTCATTATTTATTTTAACTTCATCTCGCAATAACGATAACTAATTTCATCTCTCCAATTATTTTTAATTTCACACATGAATCCTTAACAAAGCAAGATCAAGGAATGCCAGGCAATTGCCATGTTGTCAGTTGCAGCCAACCCATTGCACCAATGATTGACGCTACACCTACCCCCAGTTCCCCACCGACCGTCAGTTGTTTCTGGATATGGCAGGTGTTAAATTGTTAAAAAGAGTTATGCTTTTCCTTTGCTCGATGAAGCACATGGCTGAGCATGAAATGAACCAGACATTTGAAAAGACACAAAGATGTCTAACTAAACCCTAAACCAATCCAATTCTCTTTCTAGGCTGTAATAATTCCTGCTAAAAATGAACCGAGCATGAAACTTGTTACTAAATGCTAGGCCTGGCCAAATAACAGGAACTAAACTAAAAAGTAACTTCTAAACTAGATAAGCGGTTGTACAGACTATGACCAGCCAACCAACCCCGATTAAACAAAACTTCGACCCTAAGTTTTCTTTTTTTTTTTGGGTGAAAGTTTGAGAACTCAAATTGGGTATGATTTTATTACAAAACAATCTCTGACAAAATCCAAACCAAACCCTGACATGGGACACTACTGTCATAACCAAAGGTACTAGAATTTAGAAATATTAAATGGAATATTTTTGCCAATGTTAGCCTATCATTGTTTAGTTAACAAAATGTTGAAAAATACTCAAAAAAAAAAAAAAAAAAGAGCAAGAAAACAAAGCTTTAGATGATTCAGAACTAAACAGAAGAAAATACAAAATCTTATCATTATATTATTTCTACCATGTAACAACAATTGGATGGGTTACAAAGTAGCAAATTGTCCACATTTAATGTAGAGAAAACAAAAAGGGTATAACCCTAAACCAACTTCACATAAACTTAGTTGCAGAGAGTCAAGGATTACAGTGTTTTTAATTAGAGAAACAAAAAGCTAGTTGCTTACATTTTTGACACACTACATAAAAACTTGCATCAATGCCAAATCATAAATCATGGTCACCCTTCTTGCTTGCCAGAGAGAGAATAATCCAACCCTGCTGCAGAGATTGCAGCAAAGTTCATGCATTTGATTCTGGAGTAGCACAATGTGGAGACTTCTTGCTCAGATCGTATGGTGCTGCACTCGTAGCCCTACAACAGCAAATAATGAGCTTTATTCGAGCACGAGATCAGAGGTCCAGCTTCTATTAACAACATTAAACATATATAAAACTTGATAACCAAGGTTTAATATATTGCATCTTATAATCTTGCAACTTCTAGCTTTCTACTATGATACAATCAAAACATAGCCAACTAGTAGTTTGAAAGTTTTCAATAGCCATATTTAAGATGAAAATACAAAAATATCTTGTACAACAACTAACCTTGCCTTGCGCTTCTCCAAAAACCGAGCCAAGGAAGCTTTGCGAGCCTGTGGAACTGTAGGCAAACAATTCAGAGTCATTTATAAATGAATTTAATTGATAAATCATGTTCCAAACAGTAAATTTAGCTAAAAACATGCAAGCTGACATCAACGCCTACTTATGTATTCTGTGATTTCTGGCATGTGCATGGTTAGAAAAATGGTCGAAATGGTCAGAAAAAGTTTGGTTTCTTCAAGATCAGAAACTGGTTCCTTGAAGACAACACAGAACAGCAATCGTTAAGAGTATAAGCGCATACCAGAAGGCATCATGCCGGTTGCAGCAACAGATCCCATGGTATTCACCAATTTTGGAGGCTCCACTTTGCTAATAGGGGTTGTTGGGCTTCCTGTGGTCTTGCATACCATCAGTTCATCGTTGCTACTGGACCCGCTCCTGGACTGAGCACCAGTATGAGATGAAACAGATAGAGGACTTGACATACCAGAGCACAGTTGTGTATTTAAGAGCTGGTTCGCAGAAACACTATCAACTTGAACTGGCTTTGGAATAGATGTCTCGACATGGGCTTTTGGATGTACCACATTAGAAGCCATGGAAGACCCATTCCCAGCATGGAACATGATAGCCTCAGCCTGGATAAGATGCAAAAAAAGTAACTTTCTAAGCTTTCCACTGATCAATAGACTGCAACTAACAAAAGCTCTTTCCTGAAAGAGAAAGAAATTGTAGCACCTTCTCGGGGGTGATATCATCATAGACATTCACTGTACCCGCATAAAAGATAGTCAATTGAGAAGGTGATCCAGAGGCCCTGACACTTTTCCTAATGACAAAAATAAAATTCGGACCAAGTTTTAATATCTTATTGTCAACATTTTGACTAAAGTAACTGAACTCAAGCATAAAATCTTTAAGTTTACCATGGTTCAATGTTTCCACCAACAGAACCAAGGGTGGGAAGAATTGAATGTGGAGTTATCACTGGAATTCCTCCAAGTAATTGTGGTTTCTTGGTAGTAACGGGCAAATTTTGAGTGATAAAATTATTCTTCATGAACGGGTTGCTCACAGAAACAGAAATGGCCTGGTTTGAGACCGGAAACATCTTCATATCATAAGGACATTGAACAGGTCGTACATCATGCTGAACAGAAGAAGCTGTCAATGAAAAATGATTGCCACCTTGTTGCCCTTTGTGATTGAAGGATTTCTAGATGGCAAAAACCAACAGGGACAAGTGAAAATAATGTCAGTTGACTACTCACATAGAGTTAGAGACATTGCCAACCAATAAATTAAGAAGCAATCCGAAAAAAACCCATGTAAATTAAGGTGCAGCTCTATCTGAATAATGGAGCAATGTCTAAAAAAGGTCATTCCTCCCATAATTTCATAAAGCCAAGAAATAGATTTTTCATTTTAGAAAAAGAAAAAGATATAGGAAAGCTGCCAAACCTGAACTTCAGCAGCATCTGCTGTTGAGATAGGCATGAACCCAGGGGATACTAATGAGTCAGATCCATTTTTTTTAGTTTTATCTCCTTGAGCAAAATTAAAAGTCATCAGATGTGGAACAGCAGAAACCTTGTTTGAAAAGGGCCATTGTATCCCTGAGCTTTTAGTAAAACCTAAAATCCCAAATAAAAATGACAAACACCACCAAAATTAGATGCATGCAAAGCCATATGTAAAGATAAACATCGAAATGCAGGCACAACTTTCATAAATGGCATAATTAATTGCAAGAAATGTCCAAACAAAACTAAGTTATCTATGACCAATCACCAATAACCAAAAGAAAAGAAAAGAAAAAAAAAACTTGTTTTCATAGCACAGTGCTGACAATTGGAATTTTTATCAGAATTATCCAAAGAAAGAAAGAAATTGAATTCAATTAACAATTCTTATAACAAATATCCATTCATTTAATCCATTCTATTTTTCCACTCCAATATCTTAATTCCACCATCCAAACAAGACAAAAAAAAAAAAAAAAACTCTAAATTCTACAGTCAACCAAATTTTAGAACAAACAAAAAGTCACCAACAACCCAAAGGAAAAAGAAATAAAAGAACCAAAAAAGAGAAGAAGATACACACCAGTTTCTTTGTACCCATCAGTGTTAACCTCTTCCTTAACCATAGCCAATGATTCTTTTAAGTTCAAACCCAGAAAATCTCTCTCCATTTTTCTTTCACCCTCTTAATCCAAAATTCAAGCAAAACCCACCTCAAAACTCCGACCAAAAACCCACATAAACAAAAGTATTCCACTTTCTCAAATCCCCGCTTCTCTTCTTCCTTCTCCACCAAACATGAAAAAACAAAGCCAATGACCAAAGCTTTGCAAGTTGCAACTACAGAAAAAATGACGAAGGCACAGAGAGACTTGTTTTATATAAGATCTTTAGTACCGTTTTTTCTTTTTTTAATCAAGTGTGGGAATTACCGGAAATAACCGGTAAGGTAACCGGATAAACCTCAGCTTAACACGTGCATTGAGGCTTCCCGACACGACTTGTCCGGTGGTGCAGCACATTTGTACTGTCTTTGGTCTGAGGGATTGACACATGTGCTGACACGTGACGAGTTTTTGTCTCCTCACTCGTGAGTCGTGACTTAATTGCAACGTGTATGTTGCCGATTTTAAATTATTTTAATAATTATTTTTTGTTGGCCGATTAATCGGGAAATAACTGCGTAGCACTCGCCGTTTTTTTATCTACAGTTCTTGGGACGGGAAATGATTCGTCGGACTCTAGCCTTCATGCTCTTTTTTTTTTAGTAATAAAAAACCAAATTTTCATTTTATAAATCTGAGAAAGGAAATAATTGAAACCGGTTTGAAAAATCGCACGTGTTGATATTAGGAATTAAATGTAATATGTCATTAATTAATAATTTTTTCCTTCTTAGTCTTGTTGTTTGGCATAATTAATAAGATTAGTTTATATTAATTTATTAAATTTAGTAAATAATTATAAAAAATATTTAAAAAAATTTTAATTAAATAAATAAATTATAAATATAATAAAATTTATTTATATTAAATTTTTTACAATTAAAAAAAAAATACATGAACCCTTTCAAGTCCCTTTCTGGTTAATAAGCTTTTTTTCTTTGAATTATTTCAAAGAAAATAAACATGTAGTATTTAAATTTATTGATTTTAAAAAGAGAAACCAAAACATTATTTCCTTAAAAAAAATTATCGGATATATCAACATTTGGGTGGTCCATTTTGCTAAAATCAATGTCCTATCAAATATTTTCAATGCTCACCTAAGTCTACTCATCATCTATATGAACCTATGGGACCAAATTGCTTATTAACACGTAGAAAATTATCTAAAAAATGTAGAAAGTTACTACATATTTTTCAATATTTATAATATGTAAAATCTTAAAGTTTTCGATTCAAGATTCAAACTTCATATAATAATTTAATAAATGGGTTATATATATATATATATATATTAGCATGCATAACAATGAGGATTATCTCAATGCAAAAAAAAAAAAAACTTTATATTAGGTCTGGGGTTAAGGTCTCACAGTGCTAGTGTTTTGTTGTTTGTTTATTTTTATTTATTTATTCTAGCTTATGTATATTAAATTTTTTTTGAAAAAAAAAATCTGATTATTTTTGAGTAACTGATTTCAGGATTGGTATTCGGATTATATTTTTCTATTTTAAAGGCATTAAAATATTATTGTATGCATCTATGAAATGGTCAACTGAAAGCTCTGGCTAGAAGGGGATGAAGTACATTTAAAAATAATAATAATAATAAATAAAATAGAATAAGGCAATAAGCTCTGATTGAACTATTCTTTTGTTTTTTTTTTTTATATAAATAAAAATAAAATAAAATTTCATGTTTATTAAATTAAACTACTCCACTACCTGCCAATCTTCAACAAAAATTATCATAATAAAAAGATATAAAATATGAAACTTCTAGTTGAAGGGACAACCCCAAAAGCTAACTCTTGAAACAATAATGCAAACTCATCTTGCTGATTTTTCCAATTAATTCTTTGAGTATGTTTTATTTTGTAATTAAAATATATGAATTTAAAAATTAATTGAGTTGATTCATATAATATTTAATAAATTTAAAATTCAAATATTAATATTTATAATTCTTTTTATTATTTTCAAATTATGATATATATATATATATACACAGACAAACTCATGTACAAACTCCATTAAAAGTATTTATTTTAAGAAAATGTGCTCATTAGTTATATATATATTTTTATAATGTATGGGGCATATATTATTATGGAGGTGCCCCCTATAAATCTAAAAATATTTTATTTTAAAATAGTTTTATTAATTTATTTCTCTTTTTCTTTCTTGTTGTCCACTCCAAGTTGACGAAGTACTTATCCTATATACCTAACTCCCCGGTTCCTATTTTATTATTCGGCATTTGACAGGGATTTATGATAAAGTTGCTTTATTAAATGATTTTTTTTTTTGGTGTGTGAGAATAATTATTTTCATACCACATAACATGCATGTGGATTACTTTATTCAACAATATTGTAATTTGCTTTTTTGAGTTTGTGCAACTGTTGTAGTAACCAAATATTCCCTGTCAATGTTGATGTGAAGCCAGGCATGTGTTATTTATATTTTAAATGTACACTAGTATATAATTGAGAACAATTTTTAAGTCAACAAAGTAGAAATGAATTGATATTAGTTAATACTTTCTTCTTCTTTTTCATTTTTTTAATACATGAAGTTTCGTGCCAATGAAGTTTTAATTTAGTATCAGGTTTTAAAATTATAATGTATTAGATTGGGTCTCTAAGTTTTTAAATTTTTGTTATATTGGTATCTAAAATTCTTTTTATCATAATAGTTCATAAACTTTAATTTCGTAAGTAAATTAACTCAAAAAATTAATTTTATTAAAAAAAATTTACGTATTTTAAATTACTAATCAAATAAACTTGGTTTTCAATAAAATTTTATATCTTTAACTTGATTTTTTTTTACATCATGATATATTGGTCACATCAGATATCATTTTAAAACAAAAAGAAAATAATTTCATTTTTTAACATAGATAATAAAAATTTGAAGAAGGTAGCTTCTTTTAAATAAAAAAAAAAAGAAGAAATATTGCTTTAAGAAAAAAAAAAACACTAAATGATTTTTTAGAGATTAAGTTTTGAGATTCAATCTTTGTAATCGTTCTAAATTGAATGATTGGAGTGTGATATTTAAGGTAATTGATTCAAAAAGTTCAATTGATTGAGGGTTTTGTGTTTATGACAATTTATTTAGGTTTTAAAATTAAGAGTTTAGGGTAATCAATTCAGAAAGTATAATCAATTTGGGATTTTGTGTTTAGGACAATCGATTTAGGATTTAAAATTTGAGGTTTAAATTAGTGACAGTATGTGTTAAATGTCTGAAGATAGGACATTAAAATCGACTCATAAAATGAGAAATTGATTTAGAATACGGGACATTAGACTACAAATTTCAGATGAGGCAAATTTTAAATTTGTCCATATAACTTTACATGTATTTATGCTTGGTATAATATTGATTTTTTATGGTTTTTAATTAGTTGAATATTGTATTTTAGTATTGTTTGTATTGGGTTGGGTTTTGTGATGTTTGTATTTCTTAAATAATTATTGATTTAAAACTTGCCATTTGAAGAGGATATAGAAGGGAATAAAAAGATTGAAGCAATTTTGTTAAATACTCAAAAGAAGTCATATGATTTCGAACCCACACTATAATCCTTCTTTGTTTCTATCAATTATTTTTTTTTTCTTTTTCTTAAACTTTTAGAAAAGCCAGCTTCTTGAATTTTTTTTATTTTAGTTAAAAATAAATGTGTTAATTTTTATTTTGTTTTAGGTTTATATTTGATATGATCAATACGTCATGACGTGAAAAAAAAAAAAGGTTAAAGACGTGAAATTTTGTTATTAGTTAGCGTTATTTGATTGGTCATTTATAACACCTTATTTGATCCTAGAATTATTATACTTTTTTTAATGTGATACCTAAAAAAAAAATTCTATTTAGGTGCCTAAACTTTATTTCTATATACGAAGATACCATAACCCCTTAACACTTTTAGATAATATTGATGCGGTATTTAAATATTAATATAGATGATATGTGACTGTCATATAATCTAAGATATGATTACTCGTGTCATTTCTAAAAAAAATTGAAATAGAATTTTTAAGAAATTTTTTTTACTTTTTAAAAATGACATATGATAACCACATCACTATCACATAACTATCACATGTCATTTACATTAGTATTTAAGTATCACATCAATATTATTTAACGGTGTTAAATGATTGAGATAATTTAATACACGAAAATAAGATTTAAATACCTAATTAAAAAATTTTAAATTAAATACCACATTAAAAAATTACAATAATTTAAAAGTCAAATGAAGGATTATCCTTTTTTTTTTTTTTATGCAGGGAACTATCAAAAATCGAACCCAATTTCCTCTAACATATAATATATAGAATATTAAATTTATCAAGATTCAAAAACAATAAAATGGTTTGTTATAACAATTTCAAGCTCAATTTTGTTTTTTTTTTCTCCGGCTGTTACTGTTTGATTAAACATCAAGTTGAACCGAATTAGATTGAATAACAAACCGACTTTCAGCCTTGTTTGTAGCTTCCAGATTTTTATAATATTAAGTTTGAACCAAGCTTATTTAAAGTTAAATTCTAAATTTTACAGATTTAACCTAACAATTATTATTCTTCTTTGAGGGTATAAAAACTTAAGATACATATTATTTTTCTTTTGAATTTCCACATATGTAAAAAAAAAAAAAAAAAACTCTGATACTGATAGTCATGATATGTTGATAAAATATTAAATTTTTAATTTTAACGATTAATGTTCAATTCATGATTGTTTCAAATAACAAAAAAAAAAAAGACTTCGTTAAGATTACTAGAGTTCTATTTCACCCTTAATAGATAAATTAATTCAATTTTTGACATACATATACATATATATATATATATATATATGATGATTATACCCAAAAGGATCATTTTGGACCAATCCTACGTGGGTTTATGATTGCAGGGTTTAGCTGGTCTCTTGCTAGATTACAAGTGAATTGGTTAAATTCTTGATTCTAATCCCTTTTTGCAAATTAAAAAAAAAAAATCAATTTGATGGCAAGGTGTCTAATTAATGTTAACAAAAAAAATAAAATTCGGATTTGACATAACTCTTAAATATTGGCATGTGTCCGACATAAATATGTGCAAATTTTTTTAAAATTTTTTTTTCATATATTTGAAAAATGAAATTATCATATTCATATCCCGATTTAATATTTAAAAATAATAAAAATTAAGAGAGAACCTCTTAAGGGAAAAAGGTTATGAAGAACTGATAAGAACTTCTATCACAGCCTTTATATCTCCCATTTAATCAAATAACTTTTGTCACAGCTTGTTCTTCTGATTTAATTACTCGAAATAATTTTGTTTAATAATTTTAATATTATTTCTCTTCTGTGACCCACCATTTGCATTTGTGGTTTCAATTTTTCAAAGAAGCTTTTAATTAGTTTATTGACAGTGTATGATGAAGTAATCATAATCTTAATTTGAAAATTAAAATAACGTCACTATCCGAATCCAACATGATAATGGATAGTACTATAATCTATACCAAGAAAATAAATAAATAATGTTCCCAAAAGAAAAAAAATGAATAACACGTTCGCCAAGCCTGCATCAATCCTTTTTTTTTTCTCCCTTAGGTTCCATCAATTGACTTGTTTTGGAACAAAAATTTTGTGAAATTCATGTCTTCTTTTGAATTGTCATGTTCAAAAACCTCAACATATAATCACTGACTGCTTTTTTATTTCTTCAATTTCAATGGTGGTGCAGGAAAGTAAGCGATAACTTGTTTAGGACAAGCACGTCATGTTCAATGCAGAATCAATGAATCATCAATGAATAATTATACTAACAATAATTCAGTATTTTATGGCTACTTTTTTTGGGGGAAGCTTGGGAGAGAGGAGAATTTGTAAGAAATGCTGTTTGGGACAATTATTCATTGGACCACTAACATGCTGATTTCTTGACTGTTTTTGAAGCACATGTGAAACTTGCTTTCTCTAGATATGGCTTTTTTGAGGTGGTCCTCAGATCCTGTAAAAAAGATTTTTCCCATGTGATCTGATCTGCTTCTACTTGTTTCCAAGACCCACAAACCCCAAAGTTAGCTTACAAATTTGTTTTAGTTTATCACCAAAGCTGGCCCCCTGATTGGTTTGGCAAACATGATTCTTGTGGATTGTGTGCCAAAATTATAATGTCAAAATTTCAGAAGGATTCAAGATTTCTTTTTGCACCATGGATATTGGTTTCTTCTTCAAGTAGTAAATCCAGCCATGAGAATTTTATATAGAAAACAATGGGTTGTCAGAAATATGGAAGATCTATATCAGGACAAAAAAGCTAGTGAAAATCCATCGTGATTCTGTTTGAGGCATGATTATTTTCTCATTCACAGTAATTGTAGACTTGTAATTGTACACCTTTTGAAACATGTAATTTTGGTTTAACTGTTTTCGGTATGGTTGAGCTTGCTTTCGGCCAGTTTAGGCGTAAAATATTTAGCCTTTTTGTGTGGGTATGATCCACATATTCCATCAATAGACACTTTTTTTTTTATCAAATTGATCTTATTATTATGCAGTTCTTACTGGCTAAGAAATTTAATAAGTTTATAAAAGCAACATGGCATAGACGAAAGAAAGCATTGAAGCAATAACAAATTGTTTAGTATCAAACTTACATAAAGTTTTTTAGGTGAAGATGAAAGCTTTTTTTTTTTTCAAATAATTTAATAAAAATTTTAATAAAAAATTTAAATCGATAAATTGATAAAATTTTATATGAAAATTAATAATATATAAAAAAATTATTTATAATTTAAATTTGATCAATATTTATTCAACAGTAAAAATTTTATTAATATTTTTATTTAAAATATTTATTTAAAAATATATATTAAAATTTTTTAAATTTTTTAAAATTTTACACAATTTATACAATAAAATTTTTTAATCTTTCAATTTTAGTAAAAAAATGTATGATTTTTACCTAAAAAACATCATTTAAATCTTTCTCAATTGTTTGAGATATTCTAAATTTTTAATTTAAATAATAAAGATTTAATCTTTAATAAAAAGTTAATATGCAAATATATATTTGATTCGGAAGAAAATGATTGGAGCCAATTTTTTAAGAAAAAAAATTTGAATCAAACCCACACAAAGAAAACAAAAAACAAGTGGACTCAAGCCTCCCACAGGGACTAACAATTCTTAAATAATGTACAAGGAGACAAAAATTCAGGCTTTGGTGACAAATTACAACATGAAGAATTGACAGCTTCAAAACCAATGCATAGAGTTTCATTAATGCTGTGTTTTCCCAAGAAATAGAGAAAAGGTAGATAAAAGCTTATGCTGTTGGAGCAGATGCTCAATCGGTTACAAGGGGTTCAATGATTCCCAGGAGTTGATTAGAAAGCCCTGTGAAGACGAAGGAATCTGTTTCAATAGGCTTGAACTTAATAAGTGCTGAAGGGACCAAATCCTCTTCCTCTAGCGTTCTGGCTTTCTCTCCTGCCACAGGAAAAGAAGGGATCACCTGCCGCTTAACCGGGACGTGATCTAACAGTTCAAACTCCAAGCAGGGTTCTTTCAGTGCTGAGCTGACAAACTGAAGATCAGAAAGAGCACAAATCATTTGACAATCTAACAGTGCACATTATGTGATGAACCAAAGCTTGCTTCTTAGTAGGACACTAAGCTTAAATATCATATTATAGTAAACCTGGAAATTTCTTGGAAATACTGAACACTACCACGGGAAAAGAAGTATTTTAATTCATTACACCAGAAACTCCAAATTATATGTCTATTTAAAATACTATTCACAACACTTTATCTTGTAGGGGTAAAATTGTTCACAATTAAGCTATAGCAAATTTCAAGGAATTTAAATGCAGACAAAATTTTCTATTCTAAAAACACCTCCCATCACCTTGACTTGTGGGAATGAGACCAAGCCACCACCACCTAAATAATAATAAAATAAATAACAAAGCATTTGGTGCAAGATGCATTATCATATGATAAACTGAAAAAAATGCAACAAACTAATGCTAGATGCAGGAAGCACTGCCAATTATTTCTAATGCAGTAGAGCTGTGCAATTAAGTTTCTCTTTTTGATACCAAAATAGTAAAGTAAAGATAATGTCAGTGGGAAAAACATTGCTGACATTCAACAGTTGTACCCGTAGATGAAGATTAGTAATATGAAACAAGGCCTCAAAATTTGTTTAAATATCAAACAAGTGTTTTTAACTCAATTGAAGAAACTAATATGAACAACTAGGCAAGAGGACTAACCTCATAAAGAGCACTAGTTGGCTCCCAAGGAGCAAAAACACCTTGAAGCACAACTCCATCAGGAAACTGGATGCGAATTATTGTTCTTCTATATCTCCTCCTGGCTGCTTTTGCCTGCTTTTCCTTGTAAGATTTAGGGATTAAAAGTTGGGATTCTGCAATCTTTTTCTTTCTCATATCTGCTTCTCTCTTTAACTCTTCAACCGATAGGTTATAGAAAGAATCTGGTAGCTCGATTTTTGCTGCTACACTCTCAGGTACAGAGAAGAAGACCCGGATCTATAATGACAAAATTCATGTTCTGAGTTAGACAAATATGCCACAAGACCTAATGAAAATGTAAAAGAATAAAGTTAAATGGTAAGAACAATATGAGACAGGTGATGAGGGTGACTAATAACATCTAATATCTTGATTAAGCAACAGTGTAAAAATTGTGCATATTCACTAAATATCAACATTCAACAAATTAAAAGGAGAATGAACAAGAAAATTACAAGCAAGTTCACAAAAAAAAAAAAAAATCAAAAGCAAAAAGTGAAACAATTTTATAGAAAGCAATGTGGTCAAGTTTCCTATAATTTATGATTTACACAAACCATAAACAAACGCAATTTTCAGTAATATTCTAGAAGGATAGCAGGATAGTGATCTCATACATAAAGAATAGCAGGGTGAATTATGGACAACATTTCTAGGAACTTTATCCAATAAGCTAGTATTAGGATAAATTTTATCCTTTTGATAAAAGAACTTCTATAAAAGGGCCACACAAACAAATTCTTTCAGCATATTCATTTCAATAACCAAATATTACCTGTGTGTGAACAATCACAGAATGAACCACTCAACGATAATTAAGAGATTACCAATAGTTTCTTCAGTCTGTTGAGGTGCGCAGGTATACATAAAGTTTCTGATTACCGCCTGGATAGGCAGGTTTGGTTATTTATTTCATTATAAATTTGTCATTAAATTAGTAGAGTGGTTGAGAAATTGAAACCTTCATGGATATTTATATTGTATCAATGTACATAGTATTATAAGTACATATGGTAAATCAATAAATACCTTACTGGCTGCACTGGAGCACAGATTAAAGCTCTGTTCATGTGTTGTTGTGATGTAAATTTAGAGAGCCTCGGGCTCTATTAATGTGATGTAAATTGAATGCACATAAAAACAAAGTGATCTCCTGGTTAAAAGCATTATCAGCAATAATCAACAAAACTTGTCATTTACCTGTCTGTCAATCTTCTTTGGCTCAACACTTTCCTCTTTCTCAGCTGGAGCTGCAGGGGCAATATTCTCATTCTTCTTAAGTTGTTCTATCTTTCCCGGTTCCAACAACGTTATTGTCTTATTAATCAAACTGATCTGCTCCTCTCTAGGAATTTCCATGACCGCCCACACTTCCCCTCCTTCCTCCTTCAATTCAAACCCAACAAACTCCAACAGCTCAACTCCTCCCGCCACCTCACCGATCGCCTCCCTTATCTTCGGATTACTCATACGAATCTTCCTAAACTTGTCATTCCCAGGTTCCTTAACTATATTCCTCAACAACCTGAGAACCACATCAACTGACCCTTCTGGTGGCTTCCCTGAAATAAATGAACCAATAAAAGCCTCCAATTCACTTCTAGACTTTTCCAACTCATTCTCACTGGATCCCGAATCGCCATCAAGGCCTTTTCGATCCAATGAATTAGTGTTAACACAAGTTTCTACATGTATAGACACCTCCTCCTCAGACCTATAAGAAGCACCACAAATTGGACACTCAAACACGTTTAAGGTAAAAGCATTTTTTGATACCTTGCTAGAAGTGATCAATGAGCCGTAAGGATCAAACCCATTTTCCGTTTTGCGAATTGGTCCAGGATTATTGATAGAACTGGGCTTGTTTTGATCAGTATTTGGTGGTTTTGAAGGCAAAACAGGCTTAGAATTCGAAGAGGATGAAGAAGGGTTAGGCTTTGGATTGGGAGTTTGAGATTGGGTGGGACGGGTAAGAACGGGGTTAACAGATCCAGATGAAGAGGAACCCAGGACTCTACCTTGGCCCTTGAATTTACCAGAAGAAGAAGAAGATGATGAAAATTGGTTGTTGACTTTTTTCATGAGCCCCTTCCACTTATCTTTCATCTCATCCATTATCTGGGTATTATTCACCTGGTTTGATGCTCCAAATTGAATAATAATAATAATTCAAAAAGTAACAAACAATATAGATCAAGAATCAAGAACAAAAAGGGTAATTAAAGAAGCAAATTTATATCCAAAAAGGAAAAAGGTTGGATTGGTTGATGAAGCAGCTTGGGGAAATTATAGCAGAGAAATTAGACGGTAGATTTTGTAGCAATGAGATTACCTCGGAAGATCAGAAGAAAAGCGCCAGCAGAGTCCGGAGAAGACTTTGTATTTTTTCGATAACGAATCCTAAGCGTTAAGGTAAATAGATGTTATTGGCGGTTGGGATTTGGGTGGAACCTTCTTCCGTCTGTAGCACAAACTTTGACTTGTTAAAGCTTCGATATCACGCTGTTCATCCGCGTCAGTCTCGCTAGTTAAAACCAATAAGATTCCACCACGTATTTAGGCCCACATATCTAGCTCTTTAGGCATTGGCCCGTTGCAAACAAGACAATGTTTTCCATGTTTACTTTTTGGGCAAGAAATTGAAGAAATAAAAGCTTTGAGTCAAGTTTTGGATCATCCATAAAAGAAGATTTGAAGCAACAAAAAGACTTGAAAAAGGAAAATCTTTTTCTGATCGAAGGAAAAGCAACTAAAAGCTTTTGCAAGATTGCCACCGCAATTGTTAGTATGTTTACATTCATTGACTTTCCAATCGATTAGGTCTTGTCATTAATGGATTATGTAGGCATTGTTGCATAGCGCCTTTATAATCCACCATTTTTAATCTGGTGTCTGAGCCCAGCGTTCCTATTCTTCAGAAATCTTTTTTGCAAAGAAAATTATAACATGAGAAAAAGAAAAGTGATTACCCGTACTAATAGTTAAACCCATAGCAGATGAATGTTTTCTTTTAAAATGACTGTATAAACTATCCAAACTAAACCTCGGATTCCAACAAACAAACCTGCTGCATGAACCAACAAGTCAGGCCTTCTTATGCCTGCTACCCTGCGGGCCTATTGCTGATGAACATGGTTAGCGAGTAGGCATTTTACAAAGACAAGTTGTACCCGAAAAAAAGAACGTTAAGAAAGACATGCGCATTTGCAACTGTTTCACCATATTCTAGCAGAACTTGCATGATAAATTTCCTTTCGTTTCACGTCCCACCCAACAAACTAGCAACACTAGAAGTAATTGAACAAAGATCATTTTTACCGTTGTTCTGGCAGATAGCTATAGCTAATCCGAAACAACATTATTTGTGTTCCTTCTCCTGCAGATGTTTCTGCAGTTATTTTCAACCATTTCTTCATAACGCTGGCAAGTCAAGTGAATCTCATCTATAGATATAAAGGGAGTCTCTAGAATTTATCAAAATAATTTAAGAGTCAAGAAGAGCATCCAGGCCTTTGGCCGAAAGGTTCAGCACTCAGGCTTAAAGCCTTAGGCAGCCGCTGTTCTTCCAGTAAGTGCTGAGTTCTTCCTATGCCAGTAGCTTCAAAATCTTTGATTTAAATGTCATCATGAAAGCAGTATATGAGTGCAAGGTGATATTGCAGAGAACTCAGAATGGAGGCAAACCAAAAAGAAAAGTCTCAAAAGTTTACATAACAAAACTTCCCCCTAAACTGGTGAAAAACCTGACCACCATCCATAATGAAAAGCTATATAGCAAGGACTCCTATTAAAAAGTCTGACCATCATCTAGAATAATGAAATATATAGTTAAGCCATAGGCCTAGTTTCAAATGCATATTTCAACCATTTCTTAGGATGACTGCTGTACTGCACTACAAATATAGAGAGCTATAGGTAAGTATGCAATTTGAAGTGTTGGGTATTGTTGCTTCAATTCTGTTCGACCATCATCATCATGCAGTTTATATGGCAAGATATGGAATTTATATTTGGAATTCCTGCATTACATGCGAAAGTTGCCTGTGTTGTGACATCATTGACAACCAGTAAAAATTATTGCTTCAATTCAATTGAACCTCCAAATACTGCTTAACGCATAGACTGACCACCAGTCTTACCATGTTGACTATAAGATGATAAAATGGAAAGGATTGAGGCTGCAAAGTCCAACCCCTCAGTTCTCTTAGTGCACCTATAGGCTATAGCGCTCTTGCAGAGCACTACAATGGGGGCAATTTCATTTATCTTCACAATGGAAAAACCTATATTGAGCAGAAAATTGGAAAGAATAAAGCATTTAAAGACATACTCTTCAAGCAAAGTCAGAAAAACTATTGACCGAAGAAACAGTCTAGAAATCAATTATGAAAAAACTAAGTTTTTCCTAAACCATCTATTCATTTTAATGAAACAAATATGTTAGGTACAAAGTAGAAAGCAATAACAATAATGCAAAGCAGGTATCAAAACGACAATTAAGAATTGCCAAATGCCATCCATATAAGAATTATTTCATTATTTGCTTAGATCATTGATGATATAATGGGGCTCAAATCATAGGATAGATCATGTATTTGATGATACAATGGTCCTAAACACAGACCAATAGATGGAGGATCAGATTGAAAAGATAGACTGATTGAATAGTAACCATCTATAAACTTCAACCAGAGTTTTTCTCAGCAAAAATCATCTTTAACGCAGCAGTACATTCTGGCAGGCAGTGAACTTGGTAATATAAATAGTACATGAAAAATCCACGAAACTCCCAATTTGTAGCTAATCTTTTATAACCAATCTAGGGTAAGCGTAAGCTACATTGGCAAATCCTAATCAACTTGTTCTTAATTGAAAATTGCAGCCTAAAGCCTCAATTCCACTCCAAAAGCAGCTTTCAATATTGAATTAAAACAATTTATAACATAGATGTAATTTGCAAAAAAACCTTAACTTTCCATCAAATCATAAGTTGCAGGACTAAGATCACAAATAGCAACATATAATTCTCATCACATAAATCCTTCAAATTATCCATAACACGTAAGAGAGGAAATTTAAACAAAAGATTAAAAAAAAAGTGCCCCAAATACAACCATTCTCAAATTAACCACTTATCTCAATCGCGATTCTTAAGCCTCTCAACGCGCTGATTCAACTGCTCGATCTTAACAACAAGGTTAGTAACAGAGTAAAGAAGCCAGTAGAAAATAAGAGCGGCGGCGATGAGAAGAGCGTTGCGTTGGCTCTTCATGATGGATTTCTCGTGACGAAGGTGCTCCGAGGGAGTACAGGAATCGCCTTCGCAATGAGGGCGCGTCTCGTATTTCCAGTATATATCCATCAGAAGGAAGAGGCAGAATGGCACCACCGACAAGAACGGTTTCAGGAGGTTACGAGTCACCGCGATCAAGCCCTTGCGGAGTCCGTCGAGTCCCGGAAGGGTGAGGAGGAGCACCATGATGGCTTCTGCGCCCGCGGCGTACCCTAGCACTACCCATTCTAGAGCCATTTTTCTTTTGGGGCTTGGAGGAAATCGATTGATTAGATCTGACCGTGGAGAGAGATTTGAGGTTGGGGGAAGTTTGGTTTTTGTATGTGCTTTTCTTAGCGAGGAAGGGAGGTGGGATGAAGATGGAGAACCGATTTATTTTTAACGGGTACGAGGCGAACGAGGGATGCGTGGAGTGTTTCTAGGTCTAATTGGGTACAGATGGCTGTTTAAAAGAAGGGCTTGAGTCTTTTTTTTATCATGATTCGTGCATTGTGAAAAATATTAAAATTTATATATTTATATTTTATTATATATTAAATTTTATTTTGATATCGAAATATAAAATATTTTTTTATTAAATTTATATATAATAATTATTAAAATTTTAAATTATATTTAAATTATATCATCACATTATATTTTAAATTAATAAATATCAATTATTGATATTTGATAAATTTATTCCAACTTAAAGTCTCAAAATAATACAAATTAAAAATTGATTACTTAAGTTAAAAAAATTGAAATCCAGAAAAATATTACACATCTAAATCTTTTTTATTTTAAAAATTTAATCCATATATATATTATCTAAGTAATACGCAATAAGCAATCAATCGATTTAATTATTCTTAAGTAATCACTTAAAAAGTTGTCATATGATGATCTTTAGTTTTTTAAAAATCAACTCCTAATTATCTTATATCTTACTTTAATATTATTTAATAACATATATATAGCATATCAAATTTAAAATGATCAAATCTAATAAAATAAGTTCCATTAATTCACACATTTTTTGGTTGAATTCAAGTTTCCAAAATGAATCTCAATCAAATTTGCAATTAAACATACATGAATGACATGACTTAATCAAATATTTGGATAAAAGAACTCATTTTAATCAAATATTCGAAAGAGAAAAAAATTTCTTTTTTATCATCAGGAGAATAATATGTAAAGGTTATGACTAATAACCCAATCTATTTTTAATAGATTTTGATTCGATCTGATTTCATAAGGTCGATTTTTTTTAAATCGTATTTAAAATCGAATCGAATAATATTAAAAAAAAATCAAGTCAAGTCAAGATTAAATTTTAGATAAACCGATTCAATTTGATTTAATATATATATAATTATTTTTTAATTAATTAATTAATTTTTTATTTATATATTTATTTAATTTTATATTTATATTTAAAAAATATTTTATTAATTTTAAATCAAATATAATTTATATAATTTTAAATTTCATCAAATTTAAATATAAAAAAATTAAAAAATTATTGAATAAAATTAAATTCAAAACGAACAAAAACTCGTATCAATCCATTGCTGTCCTTAATAAATATTTGACAGCATTTGTCAAGCGGCAAATTCTAATTTTGGATTTTGGAATCATGGTTGGCTTTGATCCGAGTCCAAATAGCTAAAAGTGGATGTGCAATTGCCAATGGACTGTATTATGTAGTAGGAATTTCCAACTATGTTGGGCGCACAAGGTTAACAGGGCCTAAACGGAAGGCTTTCAGATGGGCTTCAATTTTTTTATTTTATGAGGAGTGAATTCTCACTGCTACCAATAAATTATACAATAATTATAGGTACAACTTCGCATGAATTATATTATAAATATTTTTTTAGATCTTATCTTTAGAATAATATTTTGTTGACCTCATCAAATGCAATATTGTGTAATCTCCACAATCAAAGTCATATTATATCATTATCTATTTTTTAATTCGCACATTTCACGTTATTAAATTACTGCTTGAATTTAAAATTTAATTCAATTGAATTAATATTTAAATTTTAATATCTGTAGTTTTTTTTATTCTCAAGATGTAATTTTTTTTGTAAAAAAAAATGACATTTATGTATTATCTTGTTTAGCTTTGAATTAGATCTATGTTCTCTTGGCGTAATTTTTATGGATATTCATTCAAACTTGTTGCTATCACCAACAAGTGTTTGCATTGGGTGGCGAGGAACATTACATTGGCTCTGAAACTGAAATTATGCCTCTGATGAGGATTCTTTCCGACTTTGAGGTGCATCAGCTTACCAGGGAATCGATTCTATGAAAGCAACTTTGGTTGTAATTAGTAAAACTTGGTTGCTGCCAAATGCTATTGCTCAACTGTCAGCTACCACTTTTTCACTTTTTAACAGCCATAAGATGTAGCCATTGCTAGTATATGCAATCTCTATAACTGCATTTTAAGTTTTAAAAAGAGAACTGTTGAAAAAAAATAATGCAAATGAAAATAATAAAAAAAATTATAAGTATTGAAATTTAAAATTTGAAATTGTTAATATCACATTTTATTAATAATTACATAAATTAATTGAATTAATCACCGAATTCTATTAAAAATAAAATTTGACAAACACATCAGTTGCTTGTCTAGGTTTACAGCACTTCCACTCTTTTTTTCATTATTTTTCTTTGGTTTGAATAATCTGAGCTGATCATATTGAAAAAGTCATAGAAAGTTAATATCCCCTACTTACTCCAAAAGATAATAAATAGGAAAGGGATTCCAGTAGCTTCTTCGTCATTGTCATTATCACACTACTTTGAATCAATAATTTAGCCTAAAATTCCAAGTTCAAAAGGACGACTAGCCATCTTGACCACGAGAGAAGAAAAAAAAATAAAGCAATGTTGACTCATGGATGCTTGAAATTATAAGAAGCGATGCATACAATAACGAATTAAGAACAAATTATTCTTGAATCTCGTGTAATAAAATAGCCAGTAGCCAATAGCCTTTTCTTAAACCTGGAAGAAGGATTACTTTCGGATAAAATTTGAGGATGCCCAGATCGTTTTATGTAAAAATAAAATAAAATAGCATACATTGGTAGAGTATTTGATGAACCATCAAGTTAGGAATCGGCCAACCTGGCTCCAATGATGGTCAACATCACTACAATTTGAGACAAATGTTTGTCATTTTTTTGATGATATTGATTGGTAAATATGATTGAATTGGATATATCAGACGAAATGTTGGAACAGTTAGATCTGAGTAAATAATTGAACTTAAGAACTACCAGCAATCAAACTGACAGTTTTTTTTCCTGTTGTTCTTGAAATTTTCAGTTCCAAACCACATTCAGAAAAAAAAAAAAAACAAAAAAAAAAGGAAAGGAAAGGATAAGCTTAAGGACTGGATAGAAATAAAACTCTCATCATTTTTCCAAAAAGAAAAGAGTTTGTGGGAAACTGAAAAAGGAATAAGTTTTGCCTAATGATTAGTTGAGATGATAAGAATTTAAATATTTCATTGGAAAGGTCTAATTCGATTTTCGTTATTAACAATCTTATTTTATAATTTTTTTTAAAATTTAATATAAATCTTCAAACATGTGATATGTCTTGATCATGAAATAAAGATAATCTGCAAAAAAAAAAAAAAAACTTTCGTGACAATTGTGTAAACCGACACACTTTTTTATGGTGAATGATTAAGCCACAAGTTAATGCAAAATGTCGACAGATTATATATGTAGCCAAGGGCAAGAGATGAAAATGACATTCGGCAGAGATTCTTTAGCATTATTATATATTTTAATTGAACAACTTTTCTGATTTGCCTCGCTCAAATTATCACACCTTTTGTACCTTTGATCACCTTTCTTTTTTCTTTATTTTTTTGTCCGGTCCCTTTGTTAAGGCTAGTCATTATCCAATTTCTCCTCCATCTCTTTGTCTAGGAATAAAATATAGGGGGGCTCTGAATTGCATATCCAACGCATGATCCTTTCAGCCCCCCACTTTCAATCTATTTTTATAGCCGCTATAAGCCTAAAGCAATGGAGCCAAAGGAGTGAACAGGGACAGAAACCAGAAAAGAAATTGACATGGTGGCAAAGGGTTTTAGAATGGGACACAGATGAAAACTCTTGTGATGAAAAGCAAAGCCAAAGTTGGATAATGGATGAGAGAGAAGATTAAAAGCAAAGCCAAAGAAGATTCATGAATACTACCCTTAATTATTGGCCTTAAACAGAGCTTCGTTGAATGATCAGTGTGGAATGTTTGATCAATAACTTGTTCTTGGACTCTAGACTATAAACAAAGGTTGGTTAGACAATTGGTTGGCAGATATGATGGCTGAAATAAACTTTGATTTGATACAACTATAAAATTTGCAGAAACGTGAAGATTGAACTGTCCATAAATCGCCTTCAAAAATTGACCAGATTTGGCGATTTGAATACAAAAAATTGATAGAAAGATATCATTGTGGATTTAAAAAAATCTAAGTTTCGTAGTCTCTGCTCATTCCTAGAGACGAATCTAGTCTTTTAAGTAGGATGTTCATGAACAGTCATGAATTTTTTTTTTACGCCTTCAAATTTTTTCGTAAACATCTATTTCATCGGATAAATTTTAATTTATATTATAAGTGAACACCTCGAAAAAAAATTATGGATCACCCTTACAAATATTGTTCATTCTAGTTCAGATTGATAAATTGCATAAAACACTAAAGTGATTTCACACATCTATTCATTCATGTACATTTACAATTTTTTTTAATGGACTTTTGATTTCCTTTAGGTTTTATCAGACACTTCAAAATGGACTTTCATGTCCAAAAAATTGAATTAAAATCTTTTCTCTCTAAATAAAAAAAAAAAAAAAGCTGTCAAAATACCAGAAAAAACTAAAAGAACTGAATAATACTCATTTTATCTTCAAATTCGAATAATATTTCGTACTATATGAAAAGATTATTATATAGGTGATTACATAAATTGAAATTGGAAACAAGTAATCTTGCAAATATGAAAGCAAATTGAACGTTGAATTGACAGAAATTAACCAAGTATATATAAGTAATTTTAATCAAAAGTATAGATGAATTCAAGCTTTTACCAACCATATATACTGGAAAATCAACAAAAGCGCTAATAACACCCAACAAATGCACTAATCGTAGCCCTATAAAGAGCACTTTTCATAAAATTATTCACTAATTATACACTCAGAAACAAGCTAGCCATGGTTGAAAAGCTTAAATGGGGTGTGTGGGCATGCTGTATTGGAGTCTTTAGGCTTTTCATCTTACTGCAACTTTATTTTCACTTGTTTCAAGGTACCTGTTTCCATTAACATCTGTTTCCATCAACCCCTTTGAGATCTTTCGAAAGAGTATGAAAGAAACATAAAAAGAAAAAAGAAAAAAGATGCAAAGGTTTTCGTGAGATCCAGAAACTGTTTGTTTATTTACCACCTGCAAATATTGAAACAAGGGAAAAAAATATAAAATGAGAGAGAAAGAAGAGCAGAAAAGAGCACAGAAAAGTGAAAAGCATAGTCAATTTGATTACCTTTGCCGTTCTCACACACTTTTGATAAGAATGATACAAAGAGTATGAGCAAAGCAACTCCAGCAATGAGTCCAATTACAATTGCTAGTGTCTTCTCAATATCATCATCATCATCGTTATCAGTATCTACATAAACAAAAATTGAAAGAAAATATTAGAAAATTACTTTTATACACAATAATTAAGATTTATATTTGATGCATCATCAATATATTAATACTACATACTATGATATCTTACAAACTATCACATCATAATTATTTTAATCTTTTCAGGTTGACCGTTACAAGACACTAATTACATATTATAGTAACATTTTAACATTAACAGTACATCAAATATATATTTTGATATTTAATTTTTTTATCATAGTTATTTGAATCTTTTAAGGTTATCCAAAATAATCCCTACATGTTCCTAATTCCATCAGAGATGTATGATAAGTTTGAGTGTTCTGATTGCATCAAATAGGCAGTTAAACGTCATCATCAGTACTGAATGTTGTTTCCAAATTTAGACTTTATTTGATAAGAAAATTCGAAAGGTCTCTTTATTTTTTTTTTCTATTCCAATTACATGCTGAAACACAATCATTTTCATCGTTACTATCTAGCATATATAATTGTTTGATAAAAAAATTTGGGATCAGTCTCGACGAAATTGGAAAAATTCTACCAAATACGAATCAATGTCGCTAATGTCTAATATTTAGACACGAAAATCATGTTGATTTATGTGTTTGCTTAGGTGGGGAGTGTGGGATTGGATTCTTATTGTTTGCACATGGGACATTAATTCAAAAGTGAGGCCATAATGGCCTCAATTGCATGGAAAATTTTACCACTATTAAGGTGCTTTTATAGGCAACTTTGTTGATCATACAAGAAAGCTAAAGCCACTTTGACATTTCAAATAAGTTTCTTACATAACCAATTAGTCAAGCTATATACGAATACCCTTTTATAATTCATCAAAATCAAATGGTCTTCCATTTCCTTTTACTTTTGAATAAAGAACAGAATTTTTGGCATTGAATATGTTATTTCAATGTATTTTTCACAGCTCCATCAAAATTCATTAATCTACAAGAAATGAAAATATACTAAGTTCTTTTAAATATTTTTGAAAATATGAGAAAGTGGAAAAGAAATATTCATAATTAAAAATTTGTGATATTTTAACAATTTGAATTTATCAAACTAATCATGCAATTCAAATTAATTATTTACATTTCAAATGGCTTGAAAAGGAAAATCCATAAAATAATTCCAAATTGATAAAGCTAGATAAAATTTGTTAAGTGAAGTACGTGAAATTTTCAATTAAAAATGATTAAATAAAAATTTAAATAAAAAATAAAAATCGATAGATTGAAATGTTTTGTTACATAAATCAAGGTATAAAATTTTAATAAATTTTGATATATATTTTTAAATAGATATTTTTAATAAAAATATTGATAAAATTTTTATCATTAAATAAGTATTAATCAAATTTAAATGATAAATAATATTTTTAATAATTTTTTATATATTATTGATTTTCATATTAAATTTTATCAATTTGCATTTTTTAAAAATTTTTATTAAATTATTTTTGAGAAGGAATTTTATGTTTTCTTTTTCAAGATTTGCCTTCTTGTAAATTTCATGCAGACTCTCGCTAAATTAAACCAAAAACGAAAAGAGAAAAAGAGGGAAATAAACAAAACGAAAATGGAAGAACCACCATCCAAGGGGTGGCGAAACCTCTTACCCTTTCGGCCGTGCGAGTGGTCTCCGCCTTCCGAGTACCGAGCGTAGCACTTGGCCAAGTACATGTCACCCCACTTGGCCGGCCCACACTCGGTTTTGAGCCGTCCGATTGCCTCTGATAAGCAATCTTGGCACTCACTCGGACTCAAATCCCCGACACACTGTGCCACACCTTGTAATTCCCCTGACCCGCCAACCCGAAACGGCTTGTAGGTTCCATCACTCGCTCCCAAGTAACCCAACACCGCATCCCGGCGAGTCAATGCGTCCGAGTAAGACGAAGTCAACGGCCCACATTTTTTCACCACCGCAGTCTTGTCCTCCACGCCCAAAAAAGTTGTATTATCATATTTAACGAAACATCCTTCGAGTTGCAAGGCGCCACCCGTTGAGTCAAGGCAAAGAGTGCCAAGTTGACTCACCGCTTTAGCAACACAGCGGCCACAGTCAACGTTGTTGAGGTCACCACGGCACTGGAAGAGACCGTAGACGGTGTCCTGAGAGGTGGAGCCTGCTGGCATGGTGAAGTTGTTGTAAGAGGTAAACACGGCTGCGTTGACTAGGGAATTAAGTATCGAGTTGACATTAAACTCATAGGGTGATCCTGACGTGTATTTTAGCTGCGAGCACCCACCGAAAACGAAGGAATCAGTAGCTGAATCCGATGGGGTTACGCAGAACATTGATATTATTACAAGAAGAAGAAAAACCGACGTTTTTTTCGTAGCTAAAGCCATGGGGTTAAGATATTCAGAGAAAAAGAAAGGCTTGAAAGAGAATATAGAAAGGAGAGAGTGGGAGATGCTTAAATTAGAAGAAGCTATCAGAATATAAAAACATATGACACTGTTCTGTTTGCAAGTTAGAGAGAGAGAGGATTGTTACTTTGAGGGGAATTTACGCAAGGAAGCGACTACCACTAGCTTCATATTTCACGTGCTTTTGCTTATATGAATTTTTTTTTTTAATATTGTTGTTATATAATGATTATTAAATCATTTTTACCAACGGCTTTAACTAATAAAAATAAATTAATCATTACTATTAATGTATTAATTAATAAAATTTAAATCATTCTTAAAAAATGACATTCAAAAAATATAAATTTAAATTTCAAAATTTGTAATTTTTTTCAAATCCTGTAATCCCTTTTATACCATAAGAATTTCTTCATCTTTAACGGGTATGATTTTAATTTTAGATCATTGAAATGAACGAATTATGATATTATGTTAAAAGTTTGTGCAATTTAAAAATTCGAATATATGACAAATTAGGAAAACTTTATTATTTGTAATGTCTTAAGAATTAATTACTATGATAGCTATGAGTGTAACTTTTTCTCTTTAATTTTCTTGGAAAATGACTTGTCGTTGGATTAAGAATCTTGGGATATAGCAGAATTTTGAAACGAAAGGATTATAATATCATGTTTAAAATTTGTGTAATATATATAGAATTCAAAATTAAATTTAATTAGTTTATATAATTATTTTTAAAAATTTAGAATCTAAATCACAATGCTTATAATCTCTTCTCCATTCTTACAACTTTTTTATATAAAAATTGGCATATGCGGCAAATTAGTACTGTTATAATTTATACGTAATGTTTTAAGGATTTAATACTACGATAGCTATAAATAATTTTTTTTCTTTGTTTGTTAGTTTAATTTTGTTGGAAAATGACTTATTGTTGGATTAGGAATTGATTGCAAATGAGCTACTTGGCTCAGTATTGGTTTCGTTGAGGGACCGCTAATGGTTGACCCGTATCACGTCAACGATGGTCCGGGACTAAGCCAAGCCCCCTACGTTATAATTGATCTATCAAAATCAACTCGATTTATGATTCTTCATTATCAAGTGGTTAAATTCTCAGTGGGATGAGCTTAGTTTAATAAGATATGGGTATCAAGAAGTGAGCAAAATTTAAATGAAATTTTTTGTTAAAAATGATTTAATGAAAACTTTAATTTAATATTGATAGATTTCAATAATATTTATTGATTAATGAGATGATATTATCTTATTTAATATTAATACATAAAATTTATATATTAATAATACATCAAATATAAATTTTAATTTGTTTTTTTATTTTTATTGAAATATTTATTTGAATCATAGTATTTATGAAGTAATTTTGCTTTTCAAGAATTTGTTAGGGGCTCAAGGGATATAGACCATCCTTAATTTAGATAGGCTTTCTATATAGCTAGCCATTTTGTTGATAAAGGCAGGAAGCAAAAGCAGCATGGCACGGGGTTTACTGATCATTACAAGTGTAAATTAATAAAGTGGATGATACAGAAAAACTTTAGATTTGAGTCCAAAATACTTTATGAACAAATCTTATCAAGCAATAGCTTTTCATTTCTTAGTCACCCAACTAACTTTATTGACCTAAGTGATCTATTAAAATATATAAAAATAATTGTCACCCCAAAGGGAGTTTTCAATAGGAGGACATATATAAATCATTTCAATTTATAGGCCTTTTGCATCTTTAGAGATTAGAGAATTTTTATTTTTTTTTTTTTTTTATTTTTGGAAGAAAGAAGATTCAAACCCGAATAAGAAAATACATGTATATATGCTATTGAGATAAATTTATTCTTTCTTGCTTACAATATATACTGAGTTTTTTTTTTTTATGTGATACTATCAAGTTCTTTTTTTTTTTGTAATTTATGGATTATATCATGAAATGTACCTTCTAATGTAAAATGAAGGGCAAGAAAAAGGGAGGAGATGGTACATAAAAAGTTATATTAATTAATAATTCTTTAAATTTCAATTTAAAGGAATTTTGACCGAAAATAAAAATTTTATTATTGATAGCAATTATTCCTTGCACTATATATACCATTTTTGGACACCGTTAATGGAGTTTAAAACTACATAAGCAAGATTAAGAAATTGATAAGTATATTTTTTTTATTATATTAGTCTTTTTTTTTTAAGCATCAACATTTAATGTTTGATATCTATAAGCTTATGCCTTATAAATTATGATTCGATCTCCAACACTTGTAATTTTTCTTCTTTAATCTCCTTAAGTCACGACTTCCCTTTGAGTTCCTTAAAAAAAAAAAAAAACAAGATTTTATAGATTTTTCTAACCATTAAGAATGAGATTAAATCTTTTTTTTTCAATTTTTTATTTGTCCCTCATATTTTTTGAATTTATTAAAATTAATTATTAGAAAAATGTGTATATTTTTTAAAAAAATTTTATACTATATAAGTTGAAGACAAAACTTACATGAAATTATATAGACAAAGTTTGTTAAGTTTTTTATTAGAAATAAGTAAATAAAAATTTTAATAAAAAATTCAAAATAATAGATTAATAAAATTCAATGTGAAGATCAATAATATGTAAAAAATTATTAAAAATAATATTTATAATTCAAATTTAATCGATACTTATTCAACGGTAAAAATTCTATCAATATTTTGTCATAAAATGCCTATTTAATAAATATATCAAAATTTATTAAAGTTTTTTCAAAATTTTTACTATTGATTTATGTGATGAGATCTTTTAATTTATTAGTTTTAATTTTTTATTTTAGTTTTTATTTACTTATTTTTAATAAAAAATTTCACAAATTTTACCTATAAAATTTCATATAAGTTTTTTCCTATAAGTTGATCCCTTCTCATTAGTTTTAATAGAAAACTTTTAATAAACATTAAATAAGGTAATTTTTCATTTGTATTATACATATGCATATATTTCTTGAAATTTCAATTTGATAAAATGTTTGAAATAATTAAGATCAAAGACAAATAAATTTAACTTTCAAAATCAAATTAAAAAACAATTAGTAAATAAAAAGAGTGTAGGGTTAGCAATGGATCGAATTAGGATGAGTTTTTGTCCGTCTCAAACTCAACCCAACTTTATATTCATCGAACCCAAACCCGATTAGATCTGATTATTTTTTAATTTTTTCATACCCGAATTCAATCTAATTTGATATTATATAGATCATATCCGATTTGATTTGATCGAAAATTAATAAAATATTATTTTTTAAATATAAATAATTAAATATATAATTATATAAATATATAAATAAAAAATTAATTAATTAAAAAATAATTTTTATATAATATCGAATCGAATTAGATCAGATCGAATTTATCTAAAACTTGAACTCAATCAAATTTCGATTTTTTCTTATCAATAACTCAAAATCTAATTTTTTTTAATAAAATTAATACTAAGAGATCGGATCAAAATCGTGGGAGGTGATTTAAGTTGCCAACTTAAGAAAATAAATAATATATATATATATCGGATTTCTAAAGTCAAAAAACTTCCTATTTTTATTTTATTTTATTTTATTTTTTTAGTGTCCCGAAAATCTAACTTGACGGCTAACAAGAAGTCAAGGGTAAGTGGGTTCGGTAAACAGTTGTCCAAGAATCATCTTTGTTATTTCCAAAGAGAGTTTTTTTAAGCATATATTAAAAATAGCTTGATTAAAGAAAAAGGGCAGAGAAAATACGACAAAGATTAGATTAGCTATCGTTATGAAATAGATTCATCAATAATTTGGCACCCTATGAGTTCCATAAAATATGAAAAAGCAAATTATTTAGTCGATTTTTTTTATGATAAAGTCGGTTTTGAATTAAAAAAGAAAAACACGTATATATCTTTATATATTATATTTATATATGAGTTTATATTTGATATATTATTAATGTATAAATATTATAAATCACATAATGATATATTATAAAATTTTAAAAATAAATATACTTAATTCTAATAATATATTTAAAATTAATTTTTTTATGAAATATCATTATGTAATTTATTTATAATGTATTATATTTATACACTAATAATATATTAAATATAAATTCTTTATATATACAACCTTAGAACAAAATATTTTATAACTTATATAAGTTACGTGATAACTTGTGATTTAATGATCATGTATAAAATTTGTATATTATTAATGCATTAAAGATGTGTGTGGTACATAAAATTATAATAAAATAAGATAAAATAATATTATGAATAAGATTAAATTAAATTATATCATTTTATTTTATATTTGATGTGTGTAAAGATTAACATAAAATAATTTATTTATTGATCAAAATTATTTTATTTTAAAATTTATACAATTTAAATTATTGATATAAATTTTAAGGATATGGTAAGACATATAAGTTTAATTTCATAAATTAAAAATAATTTTTTTATTTTGAAATAATTGAATCATTTTATATTAAGAAGATAATTAATTTTTTTATAATTAAATTTATTTTTTTAAATATAAACTAAATATAATATAAAATAATTATCATTTTATCTTATTTATTGTACTATTCATGAAATATGACCTAAATATAATCCTAAAACTAAAATCATATGGTACTAGTCATTTTTAAGTCTTTGCCATGAAAAATCAATGCTGCTCTTAGAATTGACCAAGTGAAGGAAGTTATCAATGAATATGGTTTCGGATTAATTTGAGTTTCTTCCCAACTCTGAAGTTAGTAAATTAACCCATAAAACAAGTAAACAAGAACCTCCCTACCTTTGTTTAATTTGCCTATCTCTCTAGGGGATGGGGACTTTTGTCGTACTAGGCTTGTGGAGGAGCAAGAACGGGCTGTTCCATCAAAGAAAAATAATGAAAGGACAGAGGCTCCGTCATTAACTTTTTATAATTAAAAAAATTCTGGATCCATCACTGAAATTAAAACGATGAAATAATGAAGGAAAAAAAAAAAGTCATGTTCAATTATTAAATCAAAAGTTTTTGCCTTTGCTTTTATGAGCTTAGGTCATGGGTTTAATCTCTGACCAAAGTATTGTCATGTTGCTGTATTAGATAAGGTTTAACAAAAGCACCACCGCAAAAAGCCCCATGCCTTTGTATAGCTTGATTTTGGGTTGGATCATGCAATGTCTCGACTTTGAAGCTGGCAAAACAATGCAATGCCCTTTATTTCTTTTATGTATGCAATTGTGCGACGGTTATATTGTCTCTTACTGAACAACATATTTGGTTTTTGTTGCCAATCATTGATCTCTCTTGAACCAAATTATTATGGTTGGAGTTGAGTTGGAGATTCCAAGAAATTGGAGGATAAATTTACAATTATGATTGGAGTCTCCGTCTCTGATAGGGATGACATTGGTCGGGTTCGAGACGAATTTTGTTCGTTTCGAACTCAATCCTACCTTATTTTTTTATATTCGAATTCGATCCGACACTATATAAATCGTATTCGATTCGATCCGACTCGAAATTAATAAAATATTATTTTTTAAAATATAAAATAATATTTTTTAAATATAAATATTTAAAAATATCATTATATAAATATATTTAATTAATTAATTAATTAATTAAAAAAAAAAATTTATATAATGTCGGATCGAGTTTTAGGCATACTCAACCCTGACCCAACCTCGATTATTCTTTAATTATACCTGACCCGAAAACCGAAATTAAAAAAAAAAACCCGACCCTATAAGGTCGGGTCGAGCCGAAACCCGTAAGGGACGGGGTTGATTGCCGTCCCTAGTCTCTGATGTCCTACCCTGCAAATTTCATCGTTCTCCAATCAATTTGAAATTAAATTTGAGACGTGACTCTCAAATTATTATAGCATAATCATGTTTCTGTCTTTCTGTTATGTTCTTCAAATGGTTATTGATTTTTCTCTCCTATTCATGAGTCAATATCAGACAAGATGTACATGTGAGGGAAAAATGCAAAGGGTAAAGCAAAATTAACTTTACCATAGAATTGATTGGAATTTGATCTGTAATTCAAAGACAAAATATTGGTTAAGACATCTATTATTTATTTAATAGGTTGGTCGAACAGCTGTGTGGCAGGGCCATCTTTACTTGAGTTGATCTTCTTCTTATCAATGACACCTTAAATTTGTTCAATAGAATATGAATGGAAGTTGATGGAAAAAATAGCTAAAATAATAAATTTGACAACGCTAATTTAGACTTCTATATGGAATTAAACATCTGAAGCATCAACAAGCAAATCCCACTATATCTTCCCAAATAATTAAATCACAAATCCCACCATCAAATCTTCCCAACCCTTTGTGGTCGAGCATAGGAAGAAGCATTTCTTCAAATCCAACTGTTTCGGAACAAAAACAAAAGAAAAAATCCGACAATATCTTGTTCTTTAATTCTTTCAAACGATTAATTTTACATATTAAGCCATTGGGATTGAAGTGATCAATGTTTCATGACGCTTTCTTTTTGGCAGCTGTTCTTTCCCTCTCCATTTGTTCAAACAGGCTTCCATCATAAAAAGCTTTAATTGTTTCTTTCCTCAATAGTCCATCTTTGTCCTTGCAAAGGCTGTATAAAAGTCTCCATTCCGTCCAGCTACCGATCCTGCAACAAGTTTTCCCAATATTTTCATTTTTTTTCTTTAATTAATAGATTAAAGAAATAGGACATATATCAGAATCTTTGCTAACACATTGGCAACATTTGATTATTAGAAGGTAATTTATATCTCGCCGACAAAGTTGACAAATCAAATTGAAAAATTTTACTGTCAATGTCTCAGAAACGAACTCTGATTATTATATATGTAACTTAGAAAAGGAAATTTAAGAAGTAATAAATTACCATCCTTTGTAATCCTGTGGTTCCCTGTTAGCCTTGAGCATTGCCATCAGTTCATCAGATGTTAAGGCATTGGCATGTGTTCGGGCGAATTTGCTGAAGATTTGTTCAAACTTCAAGGGTACAAACCTATCATATAATTCTAAAATTAGATATGAGATCACAAATAATTCACATGAGAATACCAACCAAAAACGTGCTAGCCACTACAAATGCAGCTGGTGAATCTGCCATTGACTTCAAACTAACTGAAAACCGCCCCAAGTAACAAAACCCAAATTAAACAAAACAAGTAACTCAATCTGCCAAGTGCCAACTTTGGTCTAATTTCTCTATCATATCAAGGGTCAAGTTTAGCAGCCATAGGCGGATCCACCCTTTTAAGTAGAAATTTAAAAGAAAAAAAAATTTCTTGTGAACATCCTCAAATTTTCTCATAAATATATTATATAAATTATAAATGAACATCTTCGAAAAAACTTTCGAATCTGCAGTTGTTAGCAACATGAGCCGGTATGATCTGGTTATAAGATAACATACCGACCAATTTGAAATGGATGAATTCTAGCCTAATTTAAGGCATTTAGCAATAAAGAGATGGAATTTGAGGCATACCAGGTAGTGCAAATGCTAAAATGATTTAAAACTAAAGCTTAGATTCATGAATTTTTTCACAGGAATGATAAAATAAAAAGAGCAAAGATCCATGTGATAGTTTTTCTTCATTTACCTTCCTTCACTGTCGTATACACCAGTGTCACTCCCATGTTTTCCCAAGTGGATGTTTTTAACCTCAATGGGGAAGAGCAGAGATGTGTATTTTCCCTACACCACATATCGGAAAATAAAGATCATACACCGAAAACTAAGTGGTCATACACTAGCCAATTACTGATCTATGCATGGTTCTATCGATGCAAAAAAAAAAAAAGTGTTTCAGATCATATAAGAATGGTATATATGTAAAATTTAATCAGCATTCGAAGCTCAATATAGTAAAAATAATCTGGGATTTTGATTCGTTTATTAACAAAATGTGCATTATAACTAAAAAATTTTTATTCTAACATCGTTCTTATATCACTTATTTTACTTTCAGTTAATTATATATAATATTATATTAATTTTATAAGATTTGTTTACGTGAACGTTTAAATAGATAATTTATATTATTGACATGTAAGATAATTATAAAGAATTTGATCTAATCAATTATTTAATTTTTAAAATTTACATTTATCTAAATTTTCAAATTATATAAATTTTATCTTAATTTAAAACTGAAAATTAATATAAATTAAAATTTTAAAGTATAAAACATATAATAATAAATTTTGTCCATGACACGGATAAAAAAAACTAATTTAATTATATAATAAAATTTTAGTTATGCAAAAAACCCTTTTATTATATCTTCTATCATTTAAGATTCATTTAACATCATCTAATTTCACCGTATTATAATTATATTTTATAATTAAATTTTTAATTAAACTCTTAATAATTTAATCATAAAATAATATAATAATATAATAAAACCTCATCGTACTATTAAATGAACCATTAATGTTATATGCCAAATTTGGACGAAACAGATAACCATGTTCAAAATATAAATATCTATGTTCAATTGTAATAACCCTTCAATTACGCATAAAATATTAGTACGTGGAATTTGAAGATTTGATGCACCAGAAGAAATTACCGATAAAAGGGGAAAAAAATCCAAAATGAATTAATGTCCAATGCATCGTTTGTCCTTCTCATTTCTCAAAGGCCGGATTTATAAAAAGAAAGTTGTCTTTTTCAAGGCAAACAAAAACTAATGAAAGTATGGGTCATGTCACCAACAATAAAGACAGCAGATAAGAGTGTGATGCACCACGTCTTGCTTTTGCCCTGAATAAATTCCTGCTTGGCACATCTAAGGCGCTATTCTTAAAGCTATGGAACCAAATCGTCCACGTGTCCAATTAGAAAATTTTAGATTAATTATTTTTATAATTTTTTATTTTATAAAATATATAAAAATAAATATTTATCAAACAAAACTTTAATTGGCTCCAAAAAATTTTATTTACTTAAAAATATATGTATCCCTGCTAAACTAAATTTAAATCTTCTTTCTCAAATTAAAAGAAAAAAAAAACTCAATGATTGTCTTAAACAGGCAATTATTAATTAGTTACAAATGCATTTTAGCTTCATTTAGCATTGAGGTTTAAAAATATTTTTATTAAAAAGTTTATTTTCACTGTAATTTCAATATTAAATAAAGTGAAATTTTAATTTTATAATAAAAAATTTGATTTTGTAAACTAAACACAAAAGCTTCTTAAAAAATGTTTGGTATGAAGTGATTCGTTTAATATTTATTTTTATTAAAATTTATTTATATTTTATAGTTTTTTATAAAATAATATTTAATTATTTTATAAATTATTAATTTAATTTAATTATTAATAGTTAAAATTATTATTTTGTAGAATTTTTTGGATATTTCAATACACAAACAACACTGTTAAATAATTAAAAAATTTTAAACCATATTTTCTAACTACATTTATTTCAAAACCTTTTTAAATTTGTGTTTTGTTAAAGATTCTTGCAATCTTGAGTTTATATTCAAGGGATTGCGGATTAATGGCTCTTCTTTCATATCTGAAATCCCGAGTTTTAAGAGTAAAATTCTCACCAAATTAAGGAAACGACATAAAAACCAGACAGACAAAAAAATTGAATTATTAAAAAAAGAAAAAAAATGGTAAGAAGAGGAAACAGAATGGATAACAGAAAAAAAGAAGAGGCAGTAGGATTTTACAGGGCGAGTTTTGCCACTGAGAGCACCGTTGACGAAGAAGGCACCCGCAATTGACAAGAAATAGCCAGCCCCAATTGCTCGAAACCCTGTCAAACAAAACCAAATAAAAAGAAAAAACTTAGAACGAATCAAACCATGAAATTAAAAAAAAAAAAAGGAAAAAAAAAACCTTCAAAAGTCTCCCATGGATAAATGAGACCATCGTGGTTTCTATCAAAGAATGCGGCATGCTTTTGCAGAACGTTTTGGTCGTTAGGCATAGGTCTCCCTGCATCATCAACACCTGCTGCATGCACATTTTCCTACAAATAATTACAAACCAAAACACTGCAAAATTGAGTTGCATATAAATATATAGACATATAGAGTACCCTCGTGAAAATCTTTTGAAATCAAAGAAGAATCCATGTCTAAAAAGCCTTGGATCAAGTTAAGAGCACGTGGAAATTCGAAGGAGATGGGAGTGTTTATGAAATGGAGAATTTGGCAGATAAGAAGAGAAACGACAAATAATGGTAACAGGTAAGGAAGAAACGGAATCAACAGTTGACTATTGCTTTGCTTTGTTTTGCCTTTTTTTAGCCCAACATGAACACATGATAACAATAGACTTGGGCTTCACAGCTATTAATAATGAAAGAAATGGCACATCAAGAGTGTAAAAAGAACCTCGCCCGCTTTGAAAAAGAAACGTCGGCGAGGGCAAATGGAGTTCAGTATTTTTTGCCAATTTCCTAAAATTTAAACAAAAAAATTATTGTGAATTATGGAATAAACAAAAGGAATTCGAACAGATAGGTTTTTAACAAAATTTTGGACTCGACACCTGGATTGAAGTAGCAGCCTGACTAGTACTCTTTGACGCCAAATGATCAAAGTCGTGTACGCTAAGTGTTATGTGCCTTTACCCACGTTTGTTGAGACGGCTTTTGTTTTTGTTTACAGCTTATCATCCAAATGAATTCAAGCTCTGGTTTATTTCTTCTTTTTTTTTTTTGGTTGGAATCAATGATTTTTTAGCCATGAATGTAATAGGAGGTGTCATTGCTGATCCAATTGATTAATTTTTTAATTTTATGTAAATTTATATATATTTCAATTAAAATATATCGATTAACTTCAATGAAACCCTAGATTTACATTATATTTTATACAAATTTTATATTCATAACTATATATATTTATATTTGATACAATGTCCTTTTATAGTTATATCATAACTAAGCATAAATTATATTAATTTACATGGTTGGTTTATACCAATTACAATGTATCTTCCTTTTTTCTTTTATAAAAGTTATAAATGATCATGCATGATTGGTTTATAAATGATGGAGAAAACTATTTTTCATTTCTATCTAAATCCCACTTCACCCATCTTAATCAATGAACCAAATGAACGTTTTGTTACACCCTTTGCTCGTGTCAATTATTCGATGGCATAGCTTTTGTTTTTTTTACACAAAAATTGAAGTTAATGAGCTCAATTCATTCATATATATATATATATATATATATATATATTTGTAAATAAAAAAAATGTGGGTCGACCTAATCTTATCGGCTTCTATTTTAGACTTAGATCGAAAATTATGACTAAAAATCTCTAAAAAAAAATTGGTCCCAAATTAGTTTGATGATTAAGTATCGTCAATTAAATTTTTATTTTCATTTAGAAATTTTATAAATATATTATGTTAATAAATTATTTAATTTTGAACTTGAAATTTAGTAAGAGATAACTTTCAATAAATTTGAGATTTAGATTTTAGTATCTATAAATTTTTTGCTTTTTCCCATATTATGATATTTTTATAAAAAAAAAATTCTCTAAATGATATTCATATTTTTAAACTTGCATTGTGTTTAATTTATTATGTATTATATGTTGTTGGTAAGTCGGAAAGATTCATGTATCCATAAATTTCAAAGCAAGGGAAAGGCAATTAGAATAGTTCAAATGTCAAAGTAAGAAAAACAATTAATCATATACAATTTGCACCTATATATAATATTAACTTAGAACATTATAGAACATTATAGAACATTAAGAGATTTATGTATAGGATTTGTTTATGTTATTAAAGCTGGATAAAAATAAAATAAAATAAAATGAACCCAAATGATTTGGAAGATTTTGGGGTCGATCAAGGGGTCCAAAAAATTTTTTTTTAATATAAAAACACTCATAATCTAAAAATAAAATAAATACTATGATTTAAATTTTAAATTTATTAAATAACATCTCTTTGAAAAAAATTATATATGAATTAATTTAATTAAATCTTAAATTTGAAATTATTAAGATACAAGCGTGTGATCCTTAATTATTCAAACCAATTTTACAATATTTTATTACTAAAATTTTACCTGTGGACAAGTACCCATGTTATTCACACAGACTTTCAGGGATTCGGAAGTTTTTGGGGGTTTTGTGTGAAATGTCCATCATCGTCATTGATTACATATTCAATTTCCACTTGTACAAACACGTTTATCCTGCAAATTTTTGTTAAAATTAAATTTGATAATTTATGTATTTATATCATATAAAATACAAAAATTTATGTATTTATATTATATTTTATATAAAAATTATGTGTCATAATTCGTGTCGATAAAAAAATATAAAATATAATTTTTTTATTTTTTTAAACTCATATTTATTGATATAAATGCTTTTTCGTTTTTCAACTTAAAACTTTTTTTGTTATTTGCCATGAGTCACCGAAGGAATGTAATAGTGTAAGAACCTATTTATCCAACTTTGCTCATTGATTTGTTTACATCTCGTTAGGTATTGTTGTCAGTTTTATATTTTATGTATTTAAAATTATGGTTTTATTTCATTTTTATATTTTTGAAGTTAAAAATACGATTAAAATTTATATTTTTGTTTCATAAGTTGTAAGACAAGGGAGGGATGGATTAGTGAGTTGGTTGGGGTTTGAATTCATGTTGTGGCTGTTTTGATGATCATCTTTGAATATTTTGACATTAAAACTGATTCTGTTTACTAAAAATGAGGATATTAACAGATATAAAAATTTTAATAGTGATTTGAAAGGAAAAAAAAAAAGACATAGTAAAATCAGAAACCTGAATGAAACTTTACTATTCCTAAACATAACAGAAGCTGTCCAAATGAGGAAGCTTCTGAATGAACAAGGAAATGATATTCAAACATTATAGGAGAGATTTAAACTTTTGAAATTTGGAATGCAAATGTTCACATCAACCCACAAAAGAGAAAGCACATGGAAGGAATATAACAAATTTTCTCAAACTGGTCAAAGTTTCAAACTCATGTTGTCCTCGATTACATTCTAAATCACATCAAATGAAAACGAAAGAGAGGAAATATTAATATTAGCAGCACAACTCAAACTTTAGAATGTCAAGAATTCATTAAGAAGTTGATTTATTTAACCACCATCTGGTGGAATCAAGAACATCTTTCTCATATGCAAGCATTCATATTGGTGGAGCTAAGCCGGTTGCTAGAATCATCTTGTGTACGTATTTTATATACATTTTGTTCATACAACTCTGATGAAGTTCAAAAGATGCAACACTTCAGCACTAAACCCTTTTGATCGAGCCTTGCGTCTTCATTGCCTGGGAAAACATTATCACAGTTTAACTCACTGAAGATCTATATCTACATCCTAACCAATTTACCAGAAATAATAGCACTAGTTCAGCTATATTGCAAATAGCTATCATTCCATGCAATAAACAATAAATTTGACTATCGTGGAGAACTACACTCACTTCAGACAAGAGACAAGCTTCAGAAACTGACATGAATACAAAAGGATTATGGATATGGCAAGAAAATCAGATGCAAGATCTACACACCTTCAGGAGGCTGAGCAAGCTTCCTGTTCTGTGGAGACATCATTTCTTTCTTCAGCTGAGTCAATATATCCTCCATTGTATACTCCCTTTGCCAATTAGCAAGCATGGGGAAAAGGCTAGGTTCAACCTGGTAATTTAGCTGCTATAAGTATCATATTATAGCATAAAAGGTCCCAAGAACAACATCACCTACCACTCCAGTTTCCTGATTGACACAGGTCATGTTTATCCGGGTTTGAAACCTCACACTTGGTGGATTATCTGGATAATCCTTGCCGCAAAACAATTTCAACTGGTAGATGCGCCCTTCATGAACAGTCTGGAATGCATCAAAAGTAAGTAACAAATTAACTCCTTTTCATTTTAATAAATTATTAGTTTTAAGAGGAATTATTATTATTTACTGTTTGGCAAAAACAACAGCAACAATGGAGGAAATTCATACTAGAATTCCTTTGACCAGAAGTTCTATACTATATTAAGAGATGGAAATTCATACATAATGGTTTTAGGAGGTAGTGTTCATATTTCAGATTTGAAGTTAAAATGCTGGAACCCTCTGACTTGTGGCATGTATTTAACAGTTTAAGCTTATTCTATATGCATCTAGTTAAAGGAAGGTGATGCAGGAGAGGAAACACTTGTAGTGCCCAAGATAACAAGCAACCCTGAAGAGTTGGAACCAAATGGCTAATTGTGTCTGCCATAAAAGAGCAGGTCCCACAAAGATGGGCTTGTAGAACAAGTAATACATTACGATGAGAGAATAATTGACGTCTATGACGAATGTTTAAAGCTATAGCTAAACTGAGTTGCAAGAAGGATTATGATCATAAAGCTTGTATGTTATACTTCTAGCTGATACAGTTCTAAGAAGGCTCAATGGGTTCGCAGGTAATTTCTGTGATAAAATAGGGACAAATAATCATCGAGTTTGGATGGTAGAAACTCGTTAAGCAACTTTTATAGAGTACTGAGAAATCTCTAGCTTTTCTTTTTTTTTTAAATAAAATATCTTAAATTTAAAAACACTACTCTCTTCTCATATGTTTCAACAAGCTAAATTGCATCAGTCAACTTCATCCTACCCTATGATGCAAAAAGAATAAAGCAGTCTTCCTATTCTAGCTACAGCCTGATTTATCTCAACCATAACATCTTTTCATGCTACACATATCCAGCACAAGAATTTAAAAAAAAAAAAAAATTGTTTTGTTCTTATTACTAATTAGTCAATCATGTGGACTGTCTCAATGATTACACTAACTTGTGAAGATGAGCTTAGTTAGAAGCACATGTCAACTTCAAAGTTGGTCTTAAACTCATCATTGTACTTATCCACACCAATTCAAAGACACATGCGCACCAACTATAGAAAAGAGCACAACAGAGAGAGAGAGACTCACATTAGAGGGGCCAATAATAGTCCCAGTCCATGACTGCATGTATATATCATCAGCGTCATCCATTCCATAGCTAACAGTTCCATCCCCAATTCCTTTTTCACCTCTCTCAAGCTCTTCTAGCAATCTAAAATTCCTGGGCACTGCAAAGGCCAGACATTTTAGTCTCAAAGTCAGGATTGTAAGAAAGTCACTCTGGAAGTTTGCATTAAGTCCACTTTAATTGAATGCAGATTCCAAAAATACAGAAAAAACAAAAGTTTGTTCATGAGCAAAGCTAAAACTTAAAGAGTAAAAAAATTGCTTGCACGTTATGTCAAATAATGGAAAGCAGATAATGAAGAACCCAGAAATAACTGAAGCGGTCCTGATACCATACAATAGCATATACCACAAGTTCCACTTTTAAAGTTCATCACTAACAAAGTTTACTCCTAACCACGAATGAGCAAAAAAAAATAGATATTGAGACAAAACTACTACTTTCCCCTCATAAATAGCATAAGTTTGGCTCCATTATGTAGAGACATGTGTGCCAATATTGTCACTCAATCAATGACAAACTTTTCTACTGCAATTGTGCAGTCAAAGAAATAATCTGCCCAACTCTCAAGTAGGTTTCCCAACTGATATTGCACCCAATGCCATCCAAGATCATATACCACTGCGTAACATAAGGCATCAGGAAGACATCGATATCAAGAAAAGTCACTTCCCAATAGCCAAGATCAGTGATCCTCAATGGCCAAAGGCATGGCATGGGAAAGTTGAGGAGAAAAGAAAGACATGATTTGAGAACCATAGAAGGAAATTTTAAGGCTACAAAAAAGTGGTCAAAGGAGTTTCCTTGATTTCACTGACAATAGACTTTGTTTCCCATGTCATGTATATATTTACTAAGCTCTTGTGCCTCTAATGTTAAATTCAACATCTTTCAATCAGCATCTTCATCAAGCATCAGACTCACCAAATGACACAAAAATCAAGTCATCTACTGAAGCTGTTGAGTCTTTCTCACATTTTGGTGTTCAAAATCATAAAATTTTCCACTTCCCTTCTTTTTGACTCAGCATACATGCTTGGATGTAAATCTTGGATCTTCACACCTCAAAAGCTAAAGAGTCAAGGAAGAAATATGTTGGAATCCCAGATAAAAAAGAGTTATCTATCCTAATACTAAACTGACAACATCGTCCAATCTCATTGTCATAACTTCTCCTGTATGAAACCCACTGTCAACAGAAGTTGAAGCCTCATGCAAAGAGCTTGGCTTGTTTGATTAGGATTATCATATGCACTCAATTTTTTTATACACTATATACTTGACCAGACAAACTGCTTTGCTTGTTTGATGGTATCCTCATGAATATTTATTTCTTTTGTTCATCCATTTTATACTTGACCAGGATTTCATCTACCAAATAGAAAGCTATAGCCACCCAACATCAACAACAACCAGAGATTAGGAAATTACTGATTCCTGGAACAGAAAAAGTTGATTCAAAAGAATCTGCTTATCTCTTTTTTGTCTTTTTGTATCAATTATCCATCACAGCTCACCAAGATGAGTCCTTGAAGCCTTTCAAGGTCAGCATCATGATATGAACATTTATGTAACCAGTTCTAAATGGCTGACCATTTCTTAGAGCCAACGAGGATATTATGGTAGATCCTACAGGTCATATAACTTAAACAAAATCATTGCCATCTTGTTACAAGCTAAACCCCATACCTCTGTTTTGAATGGAGGAAAGGTAATACTTGGCTAAGAGGGCTAGCACGTCATTAACAGTTGTATATGATCCCATTTCAAGAGTATTTTAATATAATCTCAACAAATCCCTTCAGAAGTGGATCAATAGTCTTGATGTATGAAATGAATAATAGAAAAAAGTAGCTTCAGAGCTAGCACAGTTCATGCATCATAGTCAATATGGCCCGTTTAAGCAAAATTCCACGCATTATATATAGCTTTCATATGCAACAAGCCCTAGGCATGGAAAAAAACTGATGATACCTGTTTAAAGGTTATCGCTTCTTTTAGAATGCACTCAACCAGCATCAATGTTCGACATTTGAAACAAGGTACACGCAACACATGTCAGATCTAATTAGTTATAATAGATTACAATGGCTCTGTCACAGCTAGAAGTATAAACAACTTAAACTCATAAAACTACTTTAGAATAGACAGCGAAAAGGAAAGCAGGAGTTAACAAAGAACAAAACAATTTTAATCCACATTCTAGCAAGGTTATATGAATTACAAGTCAAAGATCGGACAAAATTGACTAAAACTTCAAGAAATCGAGACACTGGCTTCCCTCATTACAATTTCCTTCAATTTATTCCAACAACATCTAATTCTTTCCAAACATAACGCTACAAACTTATAATCATCCATATTTCTAATATTTAAGCTCCATCTGAAACCTGCAAATGAAACCCACTGAAACGATAAAATCTTGTACAAAATTTTCACTAGCAAAGCCTGTAAAATTCCCATCTTGAATATCAATTCAAGCACAACAAATTCCATTCTCAAGCATTTCAAAAATTGAACTTAAAACTAAACAAACGAACACCAAATCACAGCTAAAACCCTATTTTCTACCAAATCCAAGGATTACCACTCAAAAAAAAAAAAAAAAAAAAACGAGATGCAATATCCCTTCACAGCTCCAACAAAGGAATGACAACAAAATTTAACTGATAATTAAAAGTTGGGAAATTTGAGAAACAATCGAGAGAAAATCTAGGCCATTGAAAAACGAAAACTTACCAACAACCCTTGATCCTTCTGAACCCATTTCCTCTTTTGATCGTTTCAATCAAAAGAAAAAAAACACAGTTAGGGTTTTCTCTGATACAAAAGAGAGAACCCAAAAAACAAAAAACTAAGGAAAAAAGAAAGTTGTGGAGAGAGTTTGGAGTCCAAAACCAACAACTACTGTTAACAACCATCAATGGTCAAGGTAAGGTACAAGATAAAAAGGAGGAGAAATAGGGAAATGATTGACTGCTTTAACTCTATTCTTCTTTCCTAGGGTTGGCATCGGGTCGGGTTGGGGGCGGGTTTTGCTCGCCCCGAACTCGATCTGACTTTATCATCAATAAATTCGACCTCGATCTGATTCGAAATTTTTTTATTTTTTCATACCCGACCTCGACTCGAACCTGATATTATATAATTTATATTCGATCCGATCCGAAATTAATAAAAATATTATTTTTTAAATATAAATATTTAAAAATATTATTATATAAATATATATATAAATAAATAATTAAAAAATTAATTAAAAAATAATTTTTTAAATAATATCGGATCGAGTAGGGTCGAAACCACCGGGATCGAGTTGAATTCTCATCCCTGTTCTTTCCTTGCATCTTATATTTAATCATTCTATATCATTGATTTTTGTATAAAAAAAAAAAAAAGGTTAAAAGTTAAACGTTAAGAGGTATCTTTTTTTTATAACATTTATCCGAATTATTTTATGAAATTTAATTTAAAGTCATTAAAAAAATCAAACAAATCAATCAATGAATTGACATATAATAAATAAATTTAATGAAATAAATTAAATTTACACATATTAAAATTTGAAATTAATATTTTAAAATTTCAAGACTTTTTTATTTTATTTATTAGTTAGAAAAGTAATTTTAATAAATGAGATAAAGAAAAAAAAAGATAAAATTAGAATATTTTGTTATTTCTTTGCATGTAAGAATAAAGGTCTTTCTTTTGCGTTGTGCATGTAAGTTAATAGATCACTATCTTGTTATATTCTTTACTTTATTGGAATTTTTTTTTCAAATTGTAATAAATTAGTAATAATTTTTAATTTAGTTATTAAAAATAATATAATTAATGAGAATTAATTTGTTATTAATAAGTGTATGATATTAATTGTAAATTTTTGACAAAATAATATGGTGTGGCATGTTTTAAGTAAAATCCTAAAAAAAAGTACTATTTAAAATCAATTTATTATAATTTAAAACACATATATAATAAATGCAAGAATTGAAAAGAAACTATGTACAATTTTCCCTCATGTGTAATTGTAATCCTAATTAAACACAATACATCTCTCTTGCCTTTTTTGCATTTTCTTCAAAAAATAATATTTCTTTTTTAAGACTATCAAACCAAAAGTCTTAAGTAATTAATTTATAGTATCTATACATTAATATTAATAAAACAATAATGATTTTCAAAACCAATTTAAAAAACAAAAAAAAAAGTAATGATTCAATTTTTCTAAAAAGAAATTGCAAAAAATAGCAAAATTTTCACAAAGAAAAGGGTTGAATTTTTGAAAGGTTCTAAAACTTTTGGGGTTTTGATTTGATTTGTTAGAAACAGTGGACAGTGTAATGCATCAATCACTTGAATATGTAATTGGAAAATAGAACATTCATCTTGATAGGTCCCAACCACTTTTAGGTGCAGGCATACAATAAGTAACCTTTATGAAGTTTGCCTTTCTATCTACGCCTAAACCAATCAGCCATCTCTTCATCATCGGATGATTCAAGCAATTCCAACTTTCTCTGGCTGTCATTGCATTTAGATTCATCATTTTGCATTATCATTGTGGGACTCTTTCTCCTCTCTGACATCTCCAACTTCCACTTCTCTTTCACTTCTGCGTTATGTGACAAAGTAGTCTTACCTCTAGTAACGGGAAAATCAATGAACTTTGAATTCTCAGTCCATGAATCTAGGCATTCTTCTTCTTCTTCTTCTTCTTCTTCTTCTTCTTCTTCTTCTTTCTCTTCATGTACAAACTTCCACATATCTGCACCTTTATATCGCTTTCTGTCTTGACCTGCAGATTTATCGATGCTGCCTTCAATTCCACCATTGTTGAAACCTGATCCATTGTCATATTCAAATTGAGTGAATCTGTCTGAAGCATTTGAGGCCTTTGGCCGTTTGTGGTCACATTTCAAGCAAACTATATTTCGTCTAAAGTTGATATAGTTGCACCTGTAGAGATCCAGGCATTTGAATATTGCATAAAACAATATCAAACATGGCTGTTATATTTAAGCTTTGGAGAATTCAGGGGAAATTGAAGCAGGAGAAAACTCACGATTCACATTCCCATTCCCCAGGGTTGAGATGACGCTTTGGAGGCTTCTCTTTGCATTGGAGACATCTTGTATTCTTTGCAAAATTCAAGAAGTTGCACCTGTAACAATTGGAAGTCTCCATGAGAAATACACCATGAGAAACTCAAAAGAAACTAAAGAATCAGAACCTTTCACATATCCAATCTCCCTTCTTTAATGGTAGATGATCCTGATCCTCCCGTAGTTGCCTCAGTCTTTCTTCATATAAACCATCACAGCGCAAGCACTTAATATTTCTTGCAAAATTTAGGAAGTTGCACCTACCAAATGGAAGTCAAGGCAAATTGAAGTCAGAATGCATATACATTTTGAGATTCAAAATTTCAAATTGCTACCACATTGGCTATCAAATTACTTGGAGCAAAGCCAATCGCCTTGCTTCATTGGAACTTTTATGTGTCCCAGTGCACTTGAATGATCCTGTAGTGAAGCATCCCCTCTTAAGGGTGCAGCATTTGGCATGCCAGATTGTAGATCCCGGTTGCTATAGTCAACCATTTCTTTCAGCAGTCTTCTTACTGATTCTTTAACCAATTTGTTTTGACATGGCTTGTTTTCCACAGAACCAGTGATGGAGTCAAGACCATATGTCAACAAAATGCGCATCACATCCACAGTCCTCCCACCTTCATCTTCACGTGCCTTCACATACGCCCTGTCACAGTTTCCTCTCAAATTGCAGGAGCTGCAAACCTACAGAAAATGAGATGAACAATAATCAGGAAAAAAAAAAAAGAAAATATCTCTTTTACCGGCCAAATCAACTATAAGCAACAATAAAAAAGGAGCCCTAGTGCATACATTTCCTTCATCAATGCCGACATAAGCCCGTAAGCGCTTTCCGGAGTTGACAACTTTCCTATCTAGGCTCGGGCATCCGCATCCTGCAATGACCTGAATATCTTTCCTTGAGAAATACCTGGAAGCAAAAGGCATTGAGAAACACACGAAAACATTAAAAAAATCTTAACGAACCAAGACATGCCATACCTTCCACATTCATCATAAAGAAAATTGCCAATGAACCAAAAGAAAATAGAAGAGAGGAAAATATTATCAAACAGGTTATATGCACCCAAACCCCCCAAAAACTGTCATAACTGAAAATGCTCCATTACCTTAAAAGGCTAAACCGATCCCTAGCAAAATTAAGGCACGCAGTGCGGATAGTGTTGGATTCTTTCAAACTGAATTCACCATTTTCGAAAGGGTTTCCATCTCCATCGAAGTAGCCTCTCTTCAACAAGCATTCCAACAAATCCACCCATTCCTGCCACGGATGTGATATCTGGACCGTTGATTCATTCCGCTTCGTGGGTCTCTCCTTATCAAACGGTACTTCGATTCCTGACCGTGACTGAGCAGCATGGGATATGGGTTTCGAAGATTGGAGCTCAGCAAGCTCATTGAAAACGACATCCAACTTTGAATTGGAATGTAGCGTTTTACTGGAGTTGTGTAAATGTGAAATGGGTATGAGAATATTACGGAAGTCAGGGTTTTCGAAATGGAATTTGCGACCAGGGTAGAGGATTTTGTAGCTGTTTCTGAAAAGCTTCATCATTCGAGAATGGTAGGATTTTGAAAAAATTTTTTGGCCAAAAACCAAAAAAAAAAAAAAAAAAAACCTCCTCCGTTGGCCTCTGAGGATGGGACAAAAAAATCGAAAAATTAAAAATTAATTTAAAATATTTTTTATTCGATTTAAATTAAATTTAAATATTAAATATATATTAAGTTAAAATAAAATATTGAATCGAATGTAAAATAATTTTTATATATGAATTTATTTAAATATTAAAAAATATAAAAAAATTTAAAATTTAAAAATGGATGAACTGAATCAAATAAATAAAATTCGATTCGAATAAATTAATTTTAAAAAAAGGTTTATTAGGATTTAAATTAAATTTTAAAAATTTATAATATTCTATATTATTTGAAAATTTCAAACTAATCGTTATCATTCCTACTTATAAGAACGGTAAATTTTGAAGAGAACATTTATTGTAATTTTTATTACTATAATTTCATAATTATTTTTTTGATTGAAACTAATAATAAAAAATAATTATAAAATCACAATAAAAAATTTTAATGTATGTTTTATTCTAACATTAAAAAATATTTACCTTTTTTTTTTACCAACAAGGGATACAAAAATGATGGATGGAAGCAATTAATAAAAAGCTTGAAGGGATCTTTCCCAATTAATCATAATTAATACTATAAAAATTATTAAAAAAATAATCAATTAATTTTTTTATCTACTATAAATTTGTTTATAAAACCTATTCAAAATTGTCAACTAATTTTAAAGTGCATGATATATTACTAATTAATTTACTTAGCTATATTATTTAAATATTACTATATTAATAATTATTTTAAAAATTTTAATCTTCACACGTCCTAGAAGGCCCAATTGCTTGTAAATATATACTAAGTTAAATATAAATTTTCATATCAAATCTTGTTTAAACAATATTATTATTATAATTTTAATTTTAATTCAATTGATTTAGAAGTTACTTTTAAAAAATAACATTTAATAGATTTAAATTTTAAATTTTAACATTTATAATTTTTTTTATCTTCAATATGGCTTTCTTTAAAAAAAAAAAATTAGTACTATTACTATAATTATTATTAAAAGTTGATTTTTTTGTTTAACCCAATTAATCAACATTTCTCTGGCATGATTTTGGTGGAATGGTTGTTAGAAATAGAGAATGTGAAAAACGTGTGGAAATAACAAACTAAGAATATGATACTTGAATCAAATGATTGAATGAAGGAAACTTCTTTTTGGCCGAACATTTTTCATGCTAATTTCCACTGAGGAATGGCTTGGAAAGAAGAAGAAAAAAATGTGAAAAAGGTGTGGAATTTGTGTGAGCTTTTTCTTTTCCATTATTTCTTTTGGAGGGGTAGGGGAGATATCAATATCATGATATTTATATATATTTCATAACTCCATAATCACAATCATGTTGGTTTGATCTCATGTCTTTGATATAATATCCGAGATGGCAATTGATTGGATGAGAGCGAATTTTTATTTGTTTCGATTCGATTTTATATATAAATATTTAAATTTAATCTAAATTTATATTAAAATATTATTTTTTATAATATTCAACCCACATCTATATAAAATCATTATTGATTTGATTTAACTTGAATCAATAAAATATTATTTTTTAAATATAAATATAAAATTTAATAATTATAAAATTATAAAATTAAATAAATAACAAAAAATATTATATATATATATATACACCAAGTTGGGTCAAGCGGGTTAGCTTAAAATCCAATATGACCTAAAACTCGATTTAAAAAAAAAAAAAAAAACTACTATATAAGGTTAAGTCGGATTGAGTCGAAACTTAATGATTTCGGATTAAATTGTCCTATATATAGTTATCAAACTCAGACCAAACATTAAATTTTAATGTATATCATAAACTACGAATTTTAAAATATAAATTTCATAAAATAGCTAATTACTAGTTAGAAATGAAATTACTTAATATTTTATTAAAATCATATTTTATATTTTAATAGTTAAAAATAATATTTATATCTTAATAAATATAATAAAATAAACTAATAAATAATTATAAAATAATTATTATTATATATTATTAAAAATATAAATATTATTTATTAATATATAATAATTAATCTTTATGTAATTAAAAAGAAATTCTATAAATAAAATTAATAAAAAGGAAAATTTTATGTTTATATGAAATTAGTAAAAGGGAAATTAAAATCATTTTTATATTTTTTATATGAATATAGATTTTTTTATTCATTTTACATATATACATTTTTTTATTAATTATTTTTAATCATGGTTAAATAATTAATCATTTTTATTAACATTTCATTTTTAATAATTTTATATATTATTAATTTTATAATTATTTTTAATTATAGTATCAATTAATAAAATTCTTTTGTTAGATCATTGTTTTTAAATTATTTATTTTTACACATCTGTAAGTTTTTTTGTAATGTCATTATCTATATGTTTCAAAATATGCTAATATATCATTAATATAAGAATATAAAGGTTTTAATAGTAAAAAATAAGAGTTGAGTGACTTATTTAGATGAAATACTAGTATAATGACTTAATCAAATTATTGTGAATACTTAAAAAGTTTTTTTCATATTTTACCTAAATTTATTAATTGATATTGAACCATTTCGATTTAAAAAAAAAAAAGATAACCCAATTTACGAATTTATTATGTAAACCACAAATTCATAACGATTTAAAGTAATTTAATTGTAAAATTAATTTAATTATGAAACCGAACTGATTTCAACATTTATTCATTGATTCAATTGGTCGGACCGATGGTTTGATCCGATTCTGATAACTATGGTCCTTTACAATATCATTAAAATTTTTAATTGCATTTCTAAATAATTTTTGCATCATGCAACAATTATTTTCCCACCTTCACCTTATAAACCAATTAAGGTGGCCGACATCTTAATTCAACAATATCATTTCAAGAGAAAAATAGGGCCACTATGAGTAAATAAATAAAGGCAAATGCTAAAGATTTTTTCAAATTACTGCACACTTGACCATTTGATTTATCCATAAATACATATATCTTCCATTCAAAAGAATTAGATTCATTTCTTTTTCTTTTCAAATCTATACTTGATAAAAAAGAATAAAAAGAAACAGGGTGAGGCAGAAATTAGATAGAGAATTTAAATTCGAACCGTAGTTCTCCCTTTCATTTAAAAAATTAGAAATAGAAAAAAAATGATATTAATTTTATTATATCAATAATTATATGATCAGTTAATAAAGTGTTACTCTGAATTTTAATAATCAGATTCAAATCTTAATATCTCAAATATAAAATAAAATATTAATTTATAAAAGAAGATATTTGCTACTACCAAATAACTTTTAAAAGATATAAACAAATCATGGGCAAAGAGAACATGGGTCATGCAAATATTAAGTGATTCCAGTATCATGAAATGGATTGATTTTTCTTCTCTTCTTTTTTTAAAAAAATTTTTGTTTTGTAGTTCAATCGTGGCCACTTGGTCACAAGTAATTCTACATGTTATGATGGGCATGGATATACAACTTGGACGTAAGATCTCTTCACCTAGTTTTCTTTTTTTTTATTCATTAATTTCTCGTATGAATTTACAGTTATTTATTCCCAACATCTACCAGCCTCGACTGTCTTCCTGGGAGTCAACACAGTTGGTTCTAACCATTGCTTTTGAACAAAGATGAAAGCTGAAGATCCTGGAAATGCCCTATTTACAAACTATGAATCTTCACTGCTAAATCAGAGAACAAACTGAGATATTTTGTTCCGTCTGCTGCTGCAGTGAGGCTAGTCGTTCGACCAGTATGTCTAATGCTTCCTTCATCCACCAATGCTGGCACACATCCCTGGCTTCTTTCACATTCATCTGAACAAAATTAAGAACATTTTCTTGACAAATTAGACACTTGATTTTGAACAAATCTGCTGTGGGAAACATGGATTGGAAAGTAGTAGCTTACCCATGTTCTTTGGCGCACGTTCTGCTCAGGCCAGAAGTCAAGTTCCTCCTTCACAAGCAAAGGAAACATGTAACCTTCATAACATGTGCCTTGGCTTTTGCTTAGAAAGTCCCATTTGCCCAATTCACACTGTTCAAAGTACAAATAAATGTCAAGATTTAGTTCAAGAACTCCATGGATTTTGATTCGGGTAAGCAAGTGCAGAGCAGGATTAACAATTCCTTTATTATTACCAACCTCAACATTGCCTAGAACACCAGCTTCTTCAAGTGATTCTCTTAAAACAGCTTCTTCCATAGATTCATCAAGCTCCCAACCACCCTAATTAAAAGAAAAAGCAACAGATCAAGGTTAATTTTACATAATTAAGCGATGCAACAACCTCTTAATTAATGAATACTTATTCTATACTAACAGTAAATTTTAAAAACTCAGCCGATAGTCAACTCAATCGATTCATGCAGTAAAAATCTAATAAGTTATTAAGTATGAGGTTCGAATCCCAAAAATTACACCCTTTTTCTTATCCGGGCTTCCTTTGGAAAAAAGTTAAAAACTCCACGCACCCTTTAATCTCATTTGTAAAGTTCAAAATTTCAGAAAAAATTTAACTTTGCATACCTTAGGAAACATCATTTTTTGACATTTCTGTGAGGAGATTACAAGAACCTCCATGTCATTACTAATGGTTCCATCACTGCTGCATTTGAATCTGTAGGGAATGCACCTGCAATTATCAAAATTGAAGAAATTAATGAATTTTCCATCATTCATTGGAAGCAAGGATTGAATTTTTCTTAATGGACAAAACAAAAACAAAAAAAAAAAGAAGGAAATCGTCCTAGCATGCAAAAACTGACCAAAAAATGGTAGAGCCACAATTCAAAGAGAACCAAAGAAAAGGAGAAGACATTTCCCAACAAGAGATACAAAAACCCAGGAACAGGACTACTCACCCGACAACTTGTCGGCGTCCGAGGTCGTCATATCGCTGCATGTCCCTTCCCGTACGAGAAAACAAGCAAGCCATCCTCAAAGAAATTGCACAAGAAAGAACAAAACTGAAAACGAATAAAAGAAAAACAATACAATCTTCAGGCTCTTAGCCCTTAACGAAATTAAGAAGATGAAAATGGAGTATCAAAAACTGATTACAGATTTGGACCCATCAGTTGGATAAAGCCAAAAATATTCAGGTGACAAAAAGGGTAAAAGGCAAAGGAAAGAAAAAAAAAATGAACGGCTATCAAGAGATGATATATGAAGATGTCGGAACAACAAAATGGCTATTTATAGGGAAAAAAAAAGAGTAAAAAACAAATTTATTAATTAAATAATTAAATAATTAAATAATTATAGCGTTAGAATAATGAATGGAATTGGTAGGCGCTGAGACGCGTCGCTTCCTATGCGTTTTTATGTCGTTTCATTTATATGGATTTTCATATTTGGGAAAATGTTTATTTATTTGTTTAGAAGACTACTATTTTCCATTGAAAAAAGGAAAAAATATTTTAGAGATTAAATTTGGTTTCGTGAATAAAATTTAGATGAAGTTTTAAGTGAAGTTCGTAATTTTTTTATTAAAAATATTTTAATATGAATTTTAGTTAAAAAATTTTAAAAATAAATTAATAAAAATTAATGATAAAATTAATAGTATGTAAAAATAATTATTAAAAATATCAGTTATCTTATTAATAATTATTCAATCGAAAAAAAATTTATTAAAATTTTAATAAAAATAATTATTTAAAAATATATCAAAATGTATTAATTTTTAAAAAAATTTCTAATATCTACATTATAATTTTTTAATAAATTCATTTAAAATTTTAATTTAATTATTTTTAATAAATAACTTCATTTTAATCTTTATTCACTAATACTTAATTTATTATTGTTATTGCAATTAAAAAAATTGATTTAAAAAATACATTTAAATAGTGCTGTAAAAAATTACTCTGAAAAACTATTATTTAAGATTTCCAAACATTTAGCATTATTATAAAAAATTAATATAAAAATTAAAATATCTAAAGAAAGGGAACATAAATTATTTTTGTTAACAATAAAAAATTAAATGAATATTTAATTATTTTATTTTTAAACTATAAATTATAAACTGCAATTACACCTTTTAATTAATTTTTTTGGATTGATTCACTTTTAATTGTCAAAAATATTTTTAGCACAAATTATAATATATATTTAATAATTCTAACCGTGGCGTAACCGTGTCCAATAAGAACACACGATTGAAATTAATTACTGGAATGTGATGTCAAAGCTGTGGTTCAAAAACAAAACAGGGCAACCTTTTCTAACCTTTTTGACTATTTTTCTGTGAGAAAAAATTAAAAACAATATTAATAATCATATAGTAACAGAAATTTAAAAAGAGGAAAAAGGGTGTGGGGTCTTATTTTCCCTCTTATCTAGACAAGACTATGGGAACTGGCTTTTTTTATTTTTTTATTTTATCATATGAATTACATAATCAAAGATAATTACTCTCTTCAACTCATACATAAAATCTGACTTGATTTTTCATAAAATTAAAAAAAATAAGTTAATTTTGTTTATAATTTTTTTATAAAATTATCTTTAATTTTGAAAAAAATGAATGTAATCAAGGTAATAATGGCTTTTTTCGTATAGTATATTATAATTAAATAGGTTTGTAATTTATATATTTATGTCGTATAAAATATTAAAAATTTATATATTTAATTATATTTTATATGAAAATGACATATTACGGTTCATATTAATATGAAAATATGAAATATATTTTTTTGTTAAATTTATTTATGATTTTTGTCAAAATTTAAAATCATATTATTTTAATATTTTTTATTTATATTATTTTTGAATCGTATCATTATATCATATTTAAAATTATTAAATCTATTAAATCTATAATTAAGTTAATAATTAATTTTTTTTCTTCTGAAATTCGTCTCCAAGCATCGGCCAGCGGATCGAATTTGTAGCATAGAAAGCTAGATCTTTTGAGATGCCATTGCCATCAATCTAAGCTAATTGGGATGTCTGTATGCTTGTCCTGCTCTCCTTTATATGAACTTCATTCATCCAAATTAAGAAGATGGATATTAAAGTAAAACTAGATCATTACATAGTAAATTAAAGAAAATATTTAACAATTGTGTAATCTGTTTAGTGACTTATGTTGATAAAGTGTTGAATTTTTAATTTTAGTTATTAAAATTTGATTTTTAACAACTTCAAATACTAAAAAATTATTAATTTAAATTAAATGAATTTTTTCTTATATTTGAAAAAATTAAATTTGAAAGAGAAATAAAATATAAATCCACTCATTTTCTTTCCCTTCTCATATTTTTTTCCCATAAAATGAAAAAAAAATTTTTTTTCCTTCCTTATTCTTCCCCTCTTACCAAACATTTACCAAACATCATATATATTAGTGAAAGGATTTTAATATTTCTCTTTCTTTTTATTTTGTATGCTTTGGAACTTAAAAAATTATGTGTTTGAATACTCATTACGTGGATGAAAAGACTCAATCGGCAAAAAATTCAATGTTATTTTGTTAGTAGTTTAGAATATGATGTATCTCACATTGAGTAAAAAGATCACTTATAAATAGTTTTAAAAAAATTATTTATATTATTTAAGTAATTAAGCTAAGTGTTTGAGTGGATCAGGTCATTTGAGCTTGTTTAAAATTTTTTTAGTGGGTTGGACAATTTTAAAAGTCAAAGATGGGCACTTGAGCATTGGGACACTTGAGTTTATTTGGTAAATAGATTTAATTTTTAAATCTTTATTATTATTATTATTATTAATTTTTTTTAAATATTATTGATTCCGAATAAATATGCTTGAACAATAAAAGACATAATTGTTTAAATAAAGTTTATTTAAACAATAAAATATAATTATATAAAATGTTATGACTTTTTGAATTTATTTGATTAATGATTGTTTATTTATTATAAATAAATATTTCTGCTTGACTAATTTCACTGCTTTTGATTTAGAGAGTTTTAAAATTTTACTGTATCTTATAGACATAATTGTTTTTAAGACAATGTTATTTACGCCCCAAAGCCATATTTTCTTTTTTCTTACTATTTTTGTTTTTTTTAAATCTACTAACAATTTAAAGGCACTTATGCCTACTACATCTATTATTGTCTTTACTACTGCTATGGATTTGGAATCAAGCATGAAAGTTCATTTTCAAAATCAATATATAATTAGATTTGATCATTTTAATGGATCAAACTACACTAGGTGGAAGGATAAAATAGTTTTTCTATTGACAACATTGAAGGTGTTTTATGTACTTGATCTAAATTTAGAATCAATTCCAAAATCAACTCCTGAAGATTCTGATACTATTAAGGCAATAAGAAGCAAACGTGAAGAAGATGAATTAATTTGTCGAGATTATATTCTGAATTCATTATTTAACTGTCTATATGATCTATACAAAAATATAAAAACATAAAAAAATATATGTACTGCTCTTGAGCACAAATATATGAACGAAAAAAAAGGTACGAATAAATTTTTTATTTTGAAATACTTTAAATTTTTAATAATTAATGAAAAATCAATCATGGATCAAGTGCATGAGTTATAAATTTAAAGAGATATATGTTAACTTAATTAATAATATAAAAAAAAATCATTATCTAGTTTTCATTAATTAATTAAATTTGAATTATATTGACCCTTGATGTACACCAAAATTAAAATGCAACGGTGACAGATTGCGACTAGATAAAAGCTCCCGTAATTAATTTTTAACATTTTTGGGTCCCTATTCATTCAACAGTAGTATGCTATGATTATGAAAGATTCGAGGATTTTATTTTATATACATAAAAGAAGTAAAATAATTCTTCATTAAAAAATAAAACTCTTTTTCAGCAACTTCTTTCAAAAGGGTAATTAATTTTTTAAACACATGAAAATTATTACTTAAAAAAAAAAAAAAAAACAATGAGTAGCCAACAATGAAGGCTTGATGATCCGTTAAGGTTTGAAATGGCCGGGGCTCACATGGAGTGGAAAAAAAAGTGCATGGCGCCGACTCCATGAGAATTTATTCCGTCTCTCTTTTGTAGTTTTTTTTTTTTTTTTTCTTCAAACATATGCAAATTAAGAATGAGTTGTGACGACTCTTCCAAGTTCCCTAACCCAAAAAACTAACTAATAATAATGGAGCAGTCGGAGATTATAACTTTTCTTTTATAGCTACTCCATGTGATCGTCACCTTCTTTGTCTCCTTGCTTTTGGGGTTTTGCCTCGTTTCGAAATTTGATAAATACAAAAATCAAGCACTATAATTTCGTATCGATATAAAAATATAAAAATATTTTTTTTATTTTATTAAATTTATTTATAATATTTTAAAAATTTTTAAATCATATTATTTTTATATTATATTATTTATCGTATTTTAAATTATCAAATCTATTCATTTTTATATTTCAAAACCCCCCAACAACTTTTAAAAAGACGGAGCAGCTTATCCTTTTTATTGAAGGGATCAAAACAAGGTTGATGCCGTTGGTAGTTGGAGATAATTGACCTTGTTTGCTGGGCATTGGGCATGTCAAATTTGAAGGGATCAAATATTCAAGAAACTGGAATACTTTAACTCCTTTGTCTGCTTGGTCAATGTGGATCACATCGGCAATCCATAGATCATAAACTTGTTTGGACTTTTGCTCTCTCTCTATGTAATCATTGATTGATCAATTAATGAAACAATGGAACATTTCCATTTTAGAATAGTTTCTTTTCTTGAATCACTTAGCTAAGTTATAATGAAGGGTAATTGACTATTTCAAGAAACATATAAGGATTTTCAATTACGAAACAAAACTACATTTTTAAACTAAAAAAGTCCTAATCTGAAAATTAAAAAATTGATTTTCAATTTGTTTGATTTTTTTTTATATCTCACATGGGAAGAAGACAATTTCTTGAAGGATAATTTTCTTCCTTTTTATTCCTTAACTATAATTTACTATTAGATAAAACGATCCAAATTAATAAATAAATCAATTAATTAATATAACATTGGACCTAATCAATATATCCATATATGCTAAGACTGAAATCTAAAACAAAAAAAAATTCAAAATCTTTCTTTGTCATATAGACAAGATCTCTTTGAGAAGGATACAATCCTTTTATAACATAGAATTATTGTAATTGTACACTACCTACAACTCAAAGTTCAAACAATTTATGTTATTGGGCTAACCAATTTTGTTTTAAATGTGATTGGCTTATGTGCCACTTGAACCCATTCATAAATCTGACATTAATATATACTTTGACTATTAACTTGAATGTATACATATAAGTTAGAATTTAAATTAATATTAACTTGAACTACTACATGAAAATAACGTGGCAATGGGCAGCTTAACATTCTAGAAAGAGTTCCTTCTAATGTCAAAATTTATGTCTCATACTAACAAGTGGTTGGTTCAATAGGTTAAGATCATTATTCTCGATGAAGAGATCTGGGATTCGAGTCTCGTCGGTGATCATTTGTTGGGAGTTGGGACTATATCGAATACACGACTTACAGTCACCTATATTAAATTGTCAAGTACGAAACATCTTGTCTTGACATGAGAAACTAAGTAACTTATCTATTTTAAATTTGTTTTATAAAAAAAAAAAAAAAAAAAAAAACCTATGTGCCGTTAGTCATACAAAAATAATTTAATTTCCAGCAATTTGACCATTCTAAATAATATTTATATAAACATTTGTTTTAAATGGTTGCTTTGATCAGTAGTACGTGATCCGATGATAAAGTGTTAAATTTTAAATTTCAAATTTCAATAATCAAAGTTCAATTTATTACAATTTTATATGTAAAAAAATGTTTCCCTTGACATATCTATCAATTAAATTCTGAAATTATAACTTAATAAAAAACTAGATGCTTAATCAATTTGAATACTTAGCATGCCTTCCATTTTTATATATATTTTTTTGTAATCTTAAGAGTGATATAACAACTTCTAAATTAGCATCTTAAAAAAAAAAAAACATTTTCATATAGGTTGTAACAATTTGTTTCCTATATGGGTAATGCTTTATGTACGTAACCTTATGAATCCAGCCCACTTCTGCATCATCAATTGGGAAGAAGAAAAACCCAATACAATGAAAGTGGCCATCCAATTGGGTCTGTTTTTCTTCGGAGGTGGGAAAATAAATGACTTGGGTCTTGTACTTCACAAGAAAACCTTAATAAAAAAAGTTTGTTTTTTTATACAAATGACAGAACAAATTTTTTAATTTTATAAATGAGATTAAAAGTTTATAATATATTTTATTTTTAAAAAATAGTTTTTAATGAATGAGATAATTTTTGTTTTAAAAAATGAATATTTTAGATAATAAAAATGTAAAAAAAAAATCATAAAGTAATGACGAAATTTACTTACAAACGTTAAACATCTAATTTAAAACTAATTAACAGTAAATGAAATGATCAAATTTGAGTGTAAAATTACAGGATATTAGATATTCATCAGATATAAGATAACATCATATTAACAGACTCTCATAACATGTAGACGATGATGAAAAAAATATTTCACGTGACAAATTTAAAAAGAATAATAGAAGAAAATTTTAGATTTGATGCAGCATTAAACATTCAATTTAAAATTAATTAACAATAAATAAAAAAATTTAACTTAAATATAAAATTATAAAATATTAGATATCAAATATAAGATAACATCACGTTAACAATAAAATCTCACAATTTATATTCATGTGTTAATCTTGTGTAAATGTTATTCCGACAAATACACTATAACTCTAATGCTTTCTTGTACACTTTCATATGCTTGGAAAAATATACAACCAAAAAACTGAACAAAATAAAATTTTAATATGAAAATCAAAAAGTTTATAAAACTCCATGGCTTGGACACGAGTCAAAAGGCCATTGGCTTTTAGGCTGCCTGAAATGCTCTGTTCAGCCTCGTTAACATGCATATCTTCAAAAATTCTAAACTATGGAAACAAAAACAAAAATAGGAAATTTCTAGACTTTACTACGATTACATTCCAATAAAATCTCAAACTATTTAGGATGTTATTAACTAAGAAACAAGCAATTAATCCTCATTCGCCTCGTGGCAGCATTACCCTCATGCTTCACGCAAGTGGTTACTGCTGGCGGCCCGACAACTAATAAATAAATAAGCCGTATGCCGACAACCACCCCAATCGATGTTTGATGTATAAAATAATAAATAAAATAAGATTATAATTATTTTATATTATATTTAATTTATATTTAAAATAAAAATAAAATTATCAGAAAATTTAATTTTTTTAATATAAAATAATATAGTTTTTCAAAATAAAAGGTTATTTTTAATCAATTTGATTGAATATATATATTATAATATTTTTAAAAATTATATTAATAATTTAAATTATATAAATTTAAAAAATAATTTTAATTAATAGATAAATTATTTTATCTTCATTTTTATATCCACCAAACATAAAATAAAATTATATTATTTTATATACCAAATTCATTTTTAATATACAATACCTAGCCTCTAGCGTGATTCACTCGTTTGTTTTCAATTGGCCAGCTATTTATTATTGCTTCTGTAGATTGTACTCAACCATGCCGGTTCGTTATTTTGTTCTTAAGTAAGCACCTTTTCATTACTATTTTAGATTGTACTGAAACTCTATATGCTACCTATTGCTAGCTTCTCATCCTTTTGATTATTTTAATAATTTTAGCTTAGAAAAAAAAAAACTATTTAGAAAAGGAAATTTGCAACTAATAACTAAAAACCGTATGCTAACAACCATAATATAAGTCAACATATTCTGAAAATAGAAATCGACGGTTAAATTTTCTTTTATTGAAAATTTAAAACAAAAAATATATATTTGACTCTTAGAATTACCTTTTTTTTTTTTTAATAATATCAACAAATCAACAAAATATTTGAAAGAAAAATAATAGTAATTGATTCAATCTACGACGTTCCTCAGATTAAATTTTTGAAAACGTGATAATTATGCCAAAGTCGTCGAGTCATTTTCGTCAAAGTTTTCATACATTGAGTGAAGATCACATGGAAGAGTGTGTGGCATAGGCACCTTGGGACTATTGTGACGTTGAATGATGGAGAAATTGGCTTGGCTAAAATTAATTTAACATGAAATGTGGACCCAAAATGTAAAGAAAAATTTAACAACTTTTGTTTTTTGTTTTTTTGTTTTTTAGTTAAGTACAAAATGAAAAATTGAAAATCAAGATCACATGATTGTCCATAGCTTGAGAATTAAGGATCATTGATAAGCAATGATGGAACTTGAATTTTTAATGTCAGTAACGTGAGGAAAAATATGTGGTTAGGTTACATTTGTTAGGCCATAGAATTATGAATAATATCTGTGTGTTTGCTTTGTTGTGGCATATCAATTATAATTTAAAGGTGATACGCTTTGAATTGATGTTTCTATAATGATTGTTGTTGTTGCTACAAGCTTTAATGAAAGAAATATTTATCTAAAAATAATCATATGATCAAATGCTTTAATTCAAATCATTAATGAGTAAATGAAAATTTTTATAATTATTAGTGAATTTAATATAGAGGAATTCAATATCAATCTTGTAGGATTATTCAATTCAAATTGTTTATATAAAATATTTACATTTAAATTTGTTTTTATGTAAAAAAAATTAAATTTTGAAAATAAGAGAAAAAATTACATATATTAAAATTTAAATTCAAATTTAAATATTATTTTTTAAGAATAATTATATGAGTCAATTAAATTAAATTTTAAATTCTTAAATTTCGAACACATGATTCATATAGAAAACGATAAGATTATAGCTCAGGTTGTTACGTATTTGAATTAAAATTTGAAATGCAAGGTTGATTGACAATTATAGATACCCAATCTTTTGCATAATTCATTAACATACATATACTTGTAGGTAACCTCTTAAAAGGTAGAGACATCACCTAATAATAATAGAGAACATATCACTTATAATTTTTTTATTATAATGTTATAATTGTCAAATTAAAACAAAATTTTATGTAAAAATTCGTCACTTATAAATATAAATTTCATATAAAATTTTCATAAATATTATAAATTTTAAATTATAATTAATTAATTATACGACAGTGATATGTTCCCACAATAATACAATCGCCAATGGGCCAAGATGTACATACGTGATTTTACATTGTTGCCGACACTCTGAACTACCATAATTCACTACATTTTCTTTCCGAAATAAAAATTATTAATTCGTTAATTATATCATTTTCACCATTCTCAAAATTCCATCAAATAAAAAGAGAAAAAATAAAATATTTAGCTATCTTTTTCAAATTTCTCTTGCTCAAAATGAAAAGGAGAAAGAAAATTCTTGAACGATTTTTCTACGTAAAAGGAAAATTGATCTAAATATGAGGTAAAAACATGATAAATTCGTTCAAATCACAAATCATCAAATTTCCTTGTTTTTTTCCAAGTTGACCAAAAAGAAGTGATTCAAGACAGAACATTTGGCAAGTTATGATTTTCCTCATGACTCCCATGATTTTCTTTTCCTTAAGAGTTGATCAAAGTCCAAAGGAGGTCATTGTAGCATTCAACCAAGTTTGAACACACAAATTTTTCTATAAGTTGAATATGAAAACCAGTCAAATAAGAAATTCCTCTTAACAACTGTGAAGAAGCAGTTGGGCAGCTCAGCCACCTATCCTATGTAGCAGATGGTAGAGTATTGAACTCTGCATTTTAATGATTAAAGGTTAAATTATATGGAGTAAAAAAAAATCTTCTAAACCCTTTTAAACAAGTGCAAGTGGAGAAAGTTACGTACCCTTTGCCAACCAGCTTGCTTTCCCTCACTATTCATGAGGACATCATGTCTTTTTCATTATTCACACCATATATAACCCCTTGAAAGTCTCCAAAAAACTGGTATTCAAGGGCAAGGCCTTAGGCGTGAAGCATTTGCAATTTGCAATCCGAAAAAGAAGGTGCTAGTTTTAGAACTTCAGAAATGGAGCAAAAGAAGATCAGAAACTGCAACAACAACGCAGCTATACGAGACGAAGATGGATACAAAGGGGTTCCAATTCATAGCCAAGTCATGAAGGTAAAGAAAGAGTTTGAGAAGATCAAGCATCCATCACTGCAGCAGCCAGATATGAGACGGGTGCTCCGAGAGATCACCCGCCAACGGTCCCGGTCCCCTCTGGGATTAGCCGAAAGACCCATATCAGTTGGGAATTCATAGAAACTACCCTGGCAGTATGGCACATCACCTGTAGAAGAGAAGAAAGAGAAACGGTTTCTCTTATGGCAACAGGTTTTTAGGATTAGAAACAATCTTGTTTTGGTCTTGTTTCAAGTTTTTCTCCCGCAGCTGGTTTCTGGATCTTTGTTCTATCTGTTGTAGATATCCTTCAATTTGATAGTACAACTCTTAAAGCAGCCAATCGAACCTCCTATGATTGCCTATTAGGATTAAACGAAAGAGGAAATAAATAATAGGAATGACCAAAATCATTAAAACTAACACAAAAATTTTACCGTTGGCTAAGTTGGTATAACGTAGGACTCATGAAACTGAACAGGCCAGAAGAAACATAACTTCAGCGGATTTTTCTGCCAGGAGCAAGGGCACTTTTCTTCATCTTTCTACAAGCCAAATACCACAAAAGGTTTTTTACTTCTTGTTAATTAGCAGTTCCAATGCTGTAAACCGCCAAAAAAAATCCAACTAACTTGTTCTTTATTGTACTAAAAACAAACATTTAAAATATAATAGAGAAACCTAAGAAAATTAGAGTCCAAACGCTAAGGAAAAAAAAAATTCATACCAGGAACCTGGTTTGACAAATGGAGCAAGACAGAGCCAGCCACAGCAGGAAGTACGGTAAGATCAGAGCCTTTGGGGATTTCTCCAGAAGCTACGAGGCCTAACCCATAGGTAGTGTACTGGGTTATCTTGACTGCCTTGTGCACCAACCCACCTTCCCTCCTGACCCACTTCAGGAGGTCGAACTGCACTTACCCAAGCCAAGAGGATGATGGTCTATCTCTGTTTTGCCCTTGAAATTGCCATTATTTTCATCTTCCCCACTTTCAAAACCATATTTATGATGTATGCTACAAGCCACAAGAAAAAAAAAAAAAAGAATCTCTTTGGGATATTTTTATATCAACCATCTTCTACATATATCAAGAGGGCAACTAATAAAGCCATCTCCTCCACATTAATTATAGTAAATTTTTATTAAAATTTTATCATTGAAATTTATGATTATTTTATGGTAAAATTAGGGGATTGATGGGTTTATAGTTTTTTAATGATTATTTAATTATTCACAATATAAGATTTTTTAGATTTCATTTAATTCAAATAAATTTATTTACATTAAATAAAATTCTCTTATCACTTGAACTAATATCCTCCAGTCAGATAATTTTCTACAAAAAGGAAGCAACTTTGACCTTCAATTCATTAAATATTAGACCCGAACACAAAGAAACAAACAATTTTCAATACCCCATTGAATTGAAACAAATAAATTGCAGAATGAAAAAAAAATGGTAAAAGAAGCAAAATTAACATGCATATCGAACTACTAAAAGAAGCATCCAATTCCATAGAAAGTAAAATCCAAAATATTCCAAAAATATACACAATTTCCAATAAGAAATTAAAAAAAAAATGTTGCTCCTACCCAATGAACCCTATCCTTTAGATCCAGGAAAAGCAGAGAGAAAAAAAAAGAGTTACCCTCCAAAAAGAGAAGAATCGTCATTCGATTTTTGATAGTAACTCCTCTCTGAGGCTACCTGGAGTCAGCCATCATCATAACCTTAAACTCTTCAAAATCAATCATCCCATCTCCATCGTTATCTACTCCACTTATCATCTTCCTACATTCTTCGATGGAACATTCATCGCCCAGGCTTTTCAGAACCTCATGAAGCTCCTCAGCTGAAATCGAACCATTCCCGTCTCTGTCATAGACCGAGAAAGCGTCCTTCAGGTTCTCCAAGATCTCGTCCGAGTCGACTCCTTTGGTGTTCAGCTCAACGAATTCCTTGAAATTTATGAACCCGTCATCGTCAGCGTCGAATTCTTTGATCATATTCCGGAGTTCTTCTTCGGAGGGTTGTTGGCCGACGGAACCCATGATGGAACCCAGTTCGGATGATGAGATCTTGCCGTCGCCATTGACGTCGAACTTTTTGAAGACTTCTTCGAGTTCTTGGAGTTGGGTTTGTGTAAAATTTCTCGATGGGGTTCGCATTGGAGATTGAAGGAACGATGATCCATCGGAAGGAACAGCTGGAGAAGCCGTTGAATTTGGGGTATTCGAAGAGGAAAATCGCTTCTTTTTTCGATTGAAAATCGACCCAAATCCCATTAGATTGTCGTCTTGTATGGAAGATTGGGAAAAAGAAAAGTAATCAGAGAAAATAAAGCTGAAAATTCGTCTGAGATAGAGAAAAAAATGGGATTGGTGGTTATTGAAGAAAGGATAATCCTTATCATAAATTGAATTAGAATTGGAAAAACAAAAAAAATGAATATTTAGGGTTTTGCTTTTGCAATTGATTTTTTTCCTTTTTAATTTTTGATTGCCAAACATGGAGGTTGGGTTGGTTTGTTATAGAGAGAGTTTTGGCGTGAGTGGATCATAAAATTTGTGTGAAAAATAAAAAATTGTTATTTTTTTAAAGGTAATTTTAATAATTAAAAATAAAATTTAGTATTTTATCTAAAAAAAAAATTGAAAGCATACCTTTTCAATTTAATTTGTGCGAGAAATTTTTGGCGTGGGATAGTCGCAGTCCAAACGGTACTTGAATTTCCTTTTTTTTTATTAATAAATAGTAATTAATTTTAATTTGCCTTTTCGCTATGCTATATTTAGATTAAAAAGATTAAATTGGTTTTAAAACATGATAATAGCCCATGACTTTGGGATTTTTCATGCTACTATGTAATTAGGAGGGAAAGGATTATTTATTTATTAAAAATTAAAAATTTCGCGATCATAGTTACGTTATGTCAAATTATCATGATAATTCTCCACGAAACTAATTTTGCGAGATGAGAACTCTTATCAATTTATCTTCAATCCAAACAAAAATCTCAAATATTCTTATCGAAAAAAAAAAATCACGAATAAAAATTTTCATTATTTTTATTAAATTTTAAGTAATGAATATGATTTTTTTATTAGGATATTTGATAAATTTTGTACTACTTAAAAATAATGTTAATTTCGTTTTAATATGAATTGTACTGGTTAGTACGATCTAAATGTATCAAAACACAATATATTTATGGGTGATTAATGGTATTAAATAGTATTAATTATTTTCATTGGTTTCAACTAATTTCATTAAATTTTAGTGAATTGATTTGTTTCAATTTGTATATAAATGTGAAATATATTTTATAATTTATAATTTATATTTTGTTATTTAATTATTTTTAATTTAATAAAAATAAAATTAATTGACAAAATGTTCCTTAAAAGTTAAATTTTCCTTTTTGTTTATTGTAACTTATTTTTTTTATACTTTATTTTTTCAAACTAAAATTCATAAGAATTTTATTATTTTTGAAGAAAATAATTGTGTTTCCTCTTTAAAATTTAATAATCATGAAACCAAAGTTTTTTTTTTTCATATCTTTACTTTTATTGTAATATTTCTTAAAAAATATTTATTTAAATATTATATGATCATATTAGGAGTTTAAAAATATCATAATAAATTGATGATATTAATTCTTATATTTTTGAATTTATTTATTTGATTTTTAAAAATATTACATATTTATTTTGTAAATTATTGGTAGTATTATTATGTATAAATTCGTGTATATTTATAAATATATTCGTAATAAATTAAAATTTTTGATCTAATATATAAAAATAACTTATACCAATATATATTATTTTTTAATTAAAATATAAATATTTTTTAGTATGATATTAATAAATTTAATTAAAAATAATAAAAAATTTCATTACTCTTATTAATTTTTAAATATAGGAGAGGATTTTCTTTCATTAGGATATTTGAGATTTTTTTTTTGGATTTAAGAGATTTATTTGAGAATTATAAAACATGGATGGAAGAAGAAGATATTAGAAAAAATCAAAAAATAAATTGATAAGAGTTATCATCTCGCGAATTTAGTTTCATGGGAGTTAATTATCATGATAATTTGACATAGTATAACTACAATCACAAATTTTTTTATTTTTAATGAATAAATAATATCTAAATATTTTAATTTAACAAATATGATTTTTAATAAAATTTAAAGATTAAATTGAATTCACAATAATATTAAAAAAAAAACTTTTTTTTTTGCTAACTTGCAACATATAAATTATAAACCAATTCAAAGACCTTTGAAAGGAAAATCTTTCAAAGTTCTAATATGTCTATTAACATTGTAATAATCATGAATTTTTGTTTTTGATTATAGTAAATGCTTAACAATGACATAAAATGAAAATAATATATTTAATAAAAAACTAAAATAACAAAAAATTCTTAAATTTTATCATTTTATAGATAAGTCTATATATTTTTATTGCATTTAAAAAACATTTTTATCTTTAATTTGTATTTAAATAAAATTTTAATTTATATTTAAATAAATTTGTAATATTTAATCTAGATCTAAATAAAATTTTAACCTAAATTAATCTTTTATTTAGAATAAAAATTTATTTAACTACAAATCAATATTAAAAATTTATTTATGTACAATAAAACTATAAAAATTTATTTAAAAAATATATAAAGGCTACCTTAAAAAAAATCAAGATTTTTTAATAATAATAATAATAATAATAATAATAATATTTTATATTAAAATTGAACCTGTTGGATTGTGTCCCAATTTTTTTACCATTATCATCAATTTGAAGATGATTGAAAGTCCAATTAAAAGCCAAAAGCTACGTGGCTTTTAATTAGACTCTCAATTAATTTTTTATTTAAATAGGTTAAAAAAATCTGAAGCAATTAGACGCATTAATTCAGCCTTATCGTCGTCGGGGAAGCAACAAGACAAAAAAAAAAAAGTAAATAAGAAAATAGAAAAATAAAAAAAACGTGATTTTTTATTAAAATTTATTTTTACTTGAAAATTCATTAAATGTTTAAAAAGGAAGAAAAAAAAAAGAAAATTGAAAGTTTTTTCATTTTCTCCCTTTTAATTTTTTAAAAATATTTTCCATTAAAAATTATAAAAATACATAAAAATAAAAAATTGTTTCAATAAAAATATATTTTATTTACTATTCTTTTTTTTCTTTTTTTTCATAACAATTTTATAATATACAATTAATCAAAAATATCATATAATTGATTAAATAGTTAAAAAATAATTTTTTCATATAATAAAAAATTAATAACAAAAACAATAATCGCAACATATTAAATATTAAATATTAAATATTAACTTTTAAATTTAAATACTTTTTTAATATTTTGTGATAATAAATATATTAAAAATAAAAAAAAATAACGAGAAGCAGTCAACTTTTCATAATAATAATAATATAGTTCCTTTTTTTTTTTTTGTTTTAATCTTTTGATTTGCTCCTTTCCTTGTCGTCTGACGTAGAAATGTTTGATTGGAAAGCAACGGAAATCCAAACGAGATTGACGGGAAATTTTCAGAGCTTGCCACGTGCCCTTCAATCACCGACCAGCTTTCCTTATGATAGGAGAGGTGTCCTTTTCTCGTTGCCCAAGTGAGGGCGTCATCAATCTTTCAATTATTTTTCCTTTTATTTTATTTTATTTCATTTCCTTCCTTACTCACCTTATATAAAATCTAGAAGTCATTAATAATTAATGAATATTATATATCCACACAGAATTATGTGAAAATTGATAGTGCCCCCATTATCCAATATATTTGTAGCATTTGGGCTTTTCTAAAGCAAAAATATCTCTAGGGCTAAACTAAACCCTTAAAGCCCACAAAAAATAATCATGATTAGCCATTTGGGCTTATCTTAAACAAGCCCATCCATTTGGGTTTGAAGGTACCAAATGAACTCTCAAGCCATGGCCCTATTTGTGATGTTTCTTTTTTCATTTGTCCAAAAGGTCGAATGAAAATAATATTTTTAAATTTAATAATTTTGATTCAAAAATTCAAAAGAAATATAAAAATTACACTAGTGTTAGTGAATCACTCCTCTTTAATTTAATTTCACTATCTGTATAAAGTAAACTAAGCTTCATTTTTAAGAGTGTTTTTGCTAATTTTTTATACTTATTTATTAAAATTTCCTTCAAAAAAAAATCAAATAGTTATTACAAGAAAATTTTGTTTTTCATTAAAATGAACATAATTATTCCAATATAAAATAAAATAATGTAAAATTATGTATTTTATCCACAATATTTTAATTTTTGCATATTATTTTCTACTTTTACATCCAAACTCAATTTTTTATTTTGTTTTCTATAGCAAAATTTTAGTGATAAGAAGCAACAATCAAAACCTAACCAAACCACTTAGAAGTTTATGCCTTAGATTGATAGATTTCGTTTTTACACATTAATAATTTAATTTTTAACACCATAAATTAGATTAAGAAACTGTTTTTTTTCAATCTCATTTATTAGTTTTTTTTTTTACTATATTTTAATCGTACGTATTATCTTATTAATCTTAAAGGTGTGATTTTTAAAATTGACTATTAGTAAATGTGATGATATTTCAAATAATAATATTATATATTTTTAAATGTTTGATATGATATACACAAAAAAAATACGTGTATTTTTTTATATCTATGAAATAAAATAAAAATAAATAATAAGAGATCGAGGAAGTGTTTTTTTTTAAATCATTGCAGTCATAAGTATTATATTCATATAATGGACTAAATAATTTATTGTTATATTATAATCAAATTATAATTATTGAATAATCAATTAACAAATTAAAACATATTTAAATAGATCAATCAAATCCACATACAATAAAAAAATTTTACAATTTTGAAGGAAGAGGAAATGGAATTTGACTTTTTTTTTTTTTTGCCATTAACAAAGCATGAACTTGACTTGTTAAGTGAGACATTTCAATCAGTTAAAAATGCAAGAGGATGAAAAGAGGAAAAAAAAAAAAGAAGCTAAATAGAATGTCCTTTTACACATTCAATACTATTAATTAAATTTTAGTTAAAGGCCAAATGAAAAATAAATAAATAAATAAATAAATTTCACGTTGAATTGTTTCAAAGTCATAAAGAATTTAATCTAATTCGAAATGGTTACTAATATTTTACAGTCACAATCACATGAGATTTAAAAAATAAATTATATTGAATTTCTTCTAGTGGAAGTATCTTGTATAATTGTATTATTATTGAAAATAAGGTAGAGCTTTAACTTTAGACTTGGCTCAAATAATTTATTTATTTTTTAAGAGATATATTAAAGTAAGATTGAAATTTGATTCTCAGTGACAAATATTTTTCTTCAAATCTTCCTTAAATGTTCTGTCATTGTTTATTAAAAAAAAATTATATTTAATGTACTATTTATATATAAATTTTATATACTTTCAATAAATCAAATGATTATATATTATTAATGAGTTAATATTAAATTTTAAAATAAATACATAAAAATTTAATTTAAAAAAATTATTCATTAACGATGTGATATTATTTAATTCATTTCATTAATAAAATAATATTATATAATTTATCAATGGTGTATAAAATGTATATATTAATAATGAATCAATTATAAATTCTAAAAAAGAAATGATAGGGTTTAAATGGTTTTCTGGAAACTGGTTAATCCTTACCCAATGAAGGGAAAACATGAACCTGAAAGAACAGAAAATAAGAACAAGATCAAAGTTTGAAACTAGACAAGAAAGTTACCGTCACAAAAGAAAACAAGTAACAGAACTCAACAAATTGATGTCACTCCCAAAGTAAAGTGTTAGTGTTATATTGTATGACTTACCCAAGAAAGAGTCAAGTATTCCTTAAAAAAAAAAAAAATCCAACAGTTGAGATACTTAGAATCATGACAGCATTTAAGCTTTTGTTATACACATATATTAGATTATTCCATGACATGCTAAAATCCAAAAGTAAAAAACTGTGCTGTTTGTTGGGTTAACAAGGAATAATAGAATATCACATCACCTGGTTCCTTCTTTAATCAGTCAACTCCGCCACTTGATTGTAAATGGAGGCCCCAACGCTTTTCTCAATCAATCAAATGGTATATCATAAGCATAAAACAAAAAAGCTTGTAAAAAAATTCATAGGCCACCATCACTCATAGGCCATAGCTCCATTATCCCTTTACAACGAAGAAAACAATCAACAAAACTTAAAAAGGAAAATAACCCTTCAAATGAACAGAAAGGAAGAGTGAAAACTGAGGAAGATGCTATGATGGAGTCAAAGCCTGTACGTTTCCTTACTCAGCAATCTTTTTTTGAAGCTGTTCGATCTGGGGAGCTTGAGTCTGTCAAGCAGTTGTTGGATAAGTTGACAAAAGATGAACCGCCAGATGGATCGTCAACGGTGTCTGATCTGATGGCAGCACAAAGTGAGTTAGGGGGGACTGGTTTGTATATTGCTGCGGAGAACAATTTCCAAGAGATTTTCAGTTACTTGCTCAAGTTCTGTGATGTTGAGGTTGTTAAGATCAGGTCTAAGTCTGATATGAACACTTTTCATGTTGCTGCTAAATTAGGAAACTTGGGTATGATTCTGATTCCTTTCCTGATTTTTGAAAATGGGTTCTACTGTTTAGCTTGAGTTTGATGGGATTTTTTATGAAAACATGCATTTGGTGGAGGAATTGAAAGAAATTGTGAAATCATTTTATCATTGCCTTATGTTTGTGCTGTTGTTCAGCTCTTTACCTTTATAATTTGGGATGACACATAGAATTGGATAGAATTTTTGGAGGTTGTTGTTGCCTGATTGCTCAATTAGTCTAATAAAGCAGACTCAAATACCAGCAACTTTGAGCTAAAAGTGGGTATTTGTTTGTTGAGCCTTGCGAAATACACTTCCATGTGATTCAGCATTGTTATCAATATGGCTATTTCTTGATCAATTAAAATCTGTCCTGTTCCATATAGGATTATTCTTGCTATTTTGATTAAATTTGGCAATTTGTGTATCCAATCTATTTTGTGTCTAACACATTTAAAGCACGAAAATTGTCAAGTCATCATTTGTTTTGCAAATATAAAACACCATTGGGTTTTGCCAAACCCATATACGGTTTTTGCTAAATTTTAAACCGTTTAGCTTTCTTCTTTTTTATCATTTTCTTAACTTGTTATTGCATCGTGTTTAAGATTAACTGATCTAGTTTTGGTGCATCTTTTTTCTGCAATTGCATGTTGCCTCAAGTACTTACTATATATGAATTGTGATTGACCAATAGATTTGTGTATTGTAGGTATTGTGAAGGAACTTTTGGCCATTTGGCCAGAGCTTTGCAAGTTATGTGACTCATCAAATACCAGTCCCCTTTATTCTGCAGCTGTTAAAGATCATTTGGATGTGGTAAATGCAATATTGAATGCCGATGCAAGCTGCATAAGGATAGTGCGCAAAAATGGAAAGACAGCACTGCACACAGCTGCAAGGTATGGCCTTATTAATACAGTAAAAGCTCTTATAGATTGTGATCAAGGAATTGTGAGCATGAAAGATAAGAAAGGCCAAACTGCACTCCATATGGCTGTGAAGGGTCAATGTCCTGCTGTAGTAGAAGAACTTTTGCTTGCTGATCACTCCACGCTGAATGAACGTGACAAAAAGGAGAATACAGCATTGCACATAGCTACAAGGAAATCTCGCCCACAGGTATCTCTCTCTGTGTGCGCGCGCTTGCATGTGTGCATATCCTCAGATTCATTTTTAGTCTTGTTCCTATTCTTGTATTCTGTTTTCTGCTTTTCAGATTGTGAGCTTGTTGCTGAGCTATAGATCTATCGATGTCAACGCCATTAATAATCAGCATGAAACTGCAATGGATTTGGCTGATAAACTTCAGTATGGAGAATCTTCGCTGGAAATTAATGAAGCTCTGACAGAGGCAGGAGCAAAGCATGCTAGGTATGTTGGCCAAGTGGATGAAGCAATGGAGCTTAAGAGGGCTGTCAGTGATATTAAGCATGAGGTGCATTCACAATTTATACAAAATGAAAAAACAAACAGAAGAGTTTCTGGGATTGCCAAGGAACTTAGGAAACTCCATAGAGAAGCTGTCCAGAACACCACCAATTCTATTACTGTTGTTGCTGTGCTCTTTGCATCGATAGCTTTCTTGGCTATCTTCAACTTGCCTGGTCAATATGTACAAGAAGAACCAGATACAGGGAAGGCTAACATAGCTGATCAGGTAGGTTTCCGCGTGTTCTGCCTCCTGAATGCCACATCCCTCTTCATATCTTTGGCAGTTGTCGTTGTTCAGATCACATTGGTTGCATGGGACACGACAGCTCAGAAACAGGTTGTATCAGTAGTAAACAAGCTGATGTGGGCTGCCTGTGCTTGCACTTGTGGAGCATTTTTGTCCATAGCTTTTGTGGTTGTGGGAAAAGGGAGTTCATGGATGGCTGTTACTATAACCATAGTGGGAGCTCCAATTCTTGTCGGAACACTTGCGAGCATGTGCTATTTTGTATTTCGACAACATTTTGGGATTTTTCGTAGCGATTCTCAGAGACGAATAAAAAGGCCAGGTGGGAGCAAGTCTTTTTCATGGTCATACTCAGCAAATATATCAGATGTTGATGATTATAATTCTGACCTTGAGAAGATATATGCTTTGTAAACACTATCAAGAAACAAAATTAAGCCTGTAAAAAGCATGGTACGGCTGCAGAAGGTCTTTGTTGTTTTTAAGTATGGCTTTTTGTAACTAAATGGCTGATGAATTCTAGAATTCTATATCAAGCTGACTGTTTTGAATCCAATTTCTGTGTAAGAAAGAGTTGGTCAATGCTTCCTAGTTGACAACCACAAGGCTGATCATAGATTTGTGTATAATCATGTATATGAGGAATAGTATCACGGACCTAAGGATGAGTCCTGAATCTCACATCGAACATAATAGGAAGGTCACTGGGGTATAAAAGGGTTCACACCATCTCCGCCTTGTGAGGCGCCTTTTGTAGGACAAAACCGTGAGGCCAAGGGGGCTAGAGCGGACAATACCTCACAAGGGTGTGAACCGTGGCGGGAAGGCTGATTCGGGACGTCAGAAGGGTGAATGCCCGGGTCCCGGAGCCGCGCGGGTTCGGAGCTTAAGTCTCGACCCGTGACAAGTGGTATCAGAGCCAGCCCTAAACCCGTTCGATCCACGCCAAGCACCTCGAGGGAGGTAGGCAGGGTGGCCAGCCTCCGTGACGAGGACGTCACGAGGTTGGGTGAGGGAGAATGTCACGGACCTAAGGATGAGTCCTGAATCCCACATCGAACATAATAGGAAGGTCACTGGGGTATAAAAGGTTCACACCATCTCCGCCTTGTGAGGCGCCTTTTGTAGGACAAAACCGTGAGGCCAGGGGGCTAGAGCGGACAATACCTCACAAAGGTGTGAACCATGACGAGAAGGCTGATTCGGGACGTCAGAAGGGTGAATGTCCGGGTTCCGAAGTCGCGCGGGTTCGGAGCTTAAGTCTCGACCCGTGACAAATAGCCTGTTTAATTCTTGATAAATGGTTTGGCTATTATTTCTACTATCATGGTTTGGATTCTGGGCTCAGTTTTATGTAAACATGTAATTGGTATATCCGTAATGTGTAAAATATAAAAATTATAATGTTACAAATCATATTGATAAATCAAATATGATTTTTATCAAATCCTTTTGTTAAAATTTTAAACCAAGCTGCTTTTTTGGTTCTTTTTTTTTTTTTTCATGATATTTTTGTATTATGTCATGTCGTTTACATGTATCATCATGACACAGACTCTTAACGGTGAACTTTAAGAAAGATAAAGGTAAGACTGCTTCATGCAAAAGCATTGGCCATTTGTTAACAATAGCAAAAGCAGAAGTTGGAGCCATCGAATCTTTCTGGTTTATTAAGTGCAGAGTCAACAGCCACCAATCAACGTGTCTGGCACATTAACCTTTTCCTTTTTTTTTCAAAGAAACATTGTTTACTTGGTGGAAGAAGCTTTTATGCTTTCTTTTACCCAGGAAGTGAAATAAATGGAAGGAAAATGGACTGGAAAGGACAGGACCTCAAAAGCAATACCTTTCTCCTTGACGAAAAACAGGAGAAAGTGGTCATGAGGGCTTCATGTTTGAAATCAGAAACATCAATTATAACAAATATAAAAGAAAATCTGTCAAGAAATAATTGTCATGGCTCTTACCCTCAATATTTGATAGAGTTGCACATTCAATTTCCCTGTATAACTTTCAACAAAATGTACAAACTGAGAAAGCTCAGAAAATTAGACTTGAAACGAGATCAGCAAGGGTGAACACGCATTCTTGATGTTGCATATACATCCAATATATATTTTTGGTGGCTAGCATAAGGCAATATTTAATAGAATCAGTGATGACCACATGCATAGTTTCACCAAAGATCAATTTGTACATGAATTAGCGATTCACTTATTTTATAAGATCGCTACGAGACATGAACAGATTTAAAAAAAAAAAAAAAAAAAAAGAAACGGCATTTTCTAAATTCAATGTCTCCCTTTAATCCATGTGGTTTTTAATAAAAAAATAATAATAATAACAGAACCACATGGGCGTATCCTGTTTACAAAGGAAAAACGAATAGCTTGGAACGCCTCCAAGCTTATATTCAGAACCCGATTTTCACCATCTCCCAACCTCCACTCGAGTTTAATAGAAACAAACTGCTATGATATACAATGTACAAACTATATCAGATCTCACCCGTGGCTCAAGCATCTTGAGATGATATTACAATTGACCTTGAACTATCAATAAGCAGCAGCAATAACTATTAAATCTGCGACTGCTCTGGGCCTCTTCTAGATGATCTCGAAGGAGGCCTGCATGTGTCTGATGTTGGAGATTGCCGGGATTCTGGTTTTGGGCCCTCCTGCATACAGAAGGGTAGAGATGACAAGTTGATTATTGTATAGAGGAAAACCATAAAATACCATGTCAAACAGGAAACATGTACAAGGTGAAACACAATAAAGAAAGGACAGCCAACAGGACCTTTCTTTATATGCTAATAGCTCTCCATTAAGATAATTAGTGAGTCTCCAGTCAACTCTTCTTACGGGGAGAAGTCTTGTTTTAAACCTTTCCCTATCATACAATTAAATGTAGTAATTTGCAGTTATCCCAATCTTCTTTAACCTAATTGACAATATATGGTCATATGTCTAACACAATCATTAAAATAAAGATGCAAGACAGTGAAAACGAAACTCCCAACAAGCAGCTCACACACCTTAGATAATGAAGGGGAACTGTTTCATGATTGTGCTTGTGATTTCACAAGCATTCGGTGTTGATGCTGCATTTGCTCAAACTGTTGCAGCCTTGAAGCAAAATTAATTCCATTCTGTAAATTCTCATTACCTTGGTTTATGTCACCATCCTCAGTGATTTGTGATCCAGTGTGATGTAAAATTTGGAAGTATGGGTTGCTTGATGATGCTTGTTTGAGTTGATCACCATTGGAGTATGACGGCACAGTTTTTAAACGTGTTCGCAATATCTTGAATGCAGCACTTTGCTGCAGATAAATCAGAAGGTCAGTATAATTTAACAATGAAAAACTAATCCACAATGTGCGTGTCAGTTTCTGATGGGTGTGAACACGTGAGAGATGTCCCCTTAAAACCAATCAACCGTTCCATACCCAACACTGGAGTAGAAAATTTTGACCCATTTTGAGGAGGTCAAGTCTCTACCTACATTCTTTTTTTTGCTTGGTTTGGAGGGGTGCCTAGAAATGAAAGTAGCACAGACGTACCTGTGGAAGTAGCATTAAAAGACCATACAACACTTTCAGCAACCATATATATCTTCCAGGTTCAAGAAGCTGGAAATCAGAAAACGGATCAGCTACATAACAAATCTTCTAAATTCAAAAGACAAACAAGGAAAATAGAAATCTAAACCAATTACTTAGAAGAAAAATGCACCTACAATGGTAACTAATGAATTCACTAAAGCTAATATATTGGCACGGTCAAATGAGCAGCATGCTGCAAACTATCTTTCAGTGCAAGAAGATGTGCAACTATCTGATAAAGAGAATTGTTCATCATATAAAAGTTTGATGACCGGTCACTAAAATGCTGGATGCATAAGCATTGCAATAAGGAAGGCTTCATAATGCCCGTTGTTGGCAACATCCCATCATAAAATGGTTGAGCTCAGGCAAAATTTTAGACATTAACATGTTAAGTATGCATCTATATTATGGCAAAAAACAAAAAAATAGCATACCATACCATAGTTTAGTTCAATAAAGTGAAATAGAAAAGTCCCTGCCAGCAGCGGGAAGGGGGGAGATTACATGTAGACAAATAATCATGAATAAAAAATACTACCTAAAACTCGCTGAAATATAAGCAAATATCAAAAGTGAACCAAAAACTAAATAAAAAGAGAACATATGTGATGCTACAATTCCTTACAAATCAAGCATATTAAAGCTATTAACAAGATTGTAAGGCAAGTAGTTAGTATATATTCAAGAACCTGCAATCTGAGATAAGTGAAGATTGGAGTTTCGAGCAAGCAAATCAATTTATCGAGTTGGACCAAGAATTTGACATTAATATCTTCCTCGACCAGCGATTGAATCACAGCACTTGCATGCTGGTATGTCTATCAAGCAAATAAATACTAGATTAACAACCACGAAAGTAGATGGTGCAACCCTGCACCTCTTCCCTCAGCCCGTCACACATGAAAAGAGAGAGACTGGTTAGCCATTTAAAGGAGTTATAGATTCTTACCTGAGCTAATAAACAAAGACTAATGATTGCCATGGGTGAATGGCACCATGAAGCATACAAAGAAACAAATAAATCTTTTCCAGCTGCATTAACCAGTGACTGTTTCAAAAGTTTCCGAAGCTTGGATAGCTCAGAAGAAGTGAGTAGAATTAAATTCAAAGCCTGAAAGGCAAGAGGAGAAAATTTAAAATCAGGTGCCAAATGGAAATACCATTCTACTAAAAGAAAAATAATTGAGAAACTATTTCAACTTTAATAACAATGTCATGGCTATCACATTTTTAAAGTTATGGCATTGCTTTGTATTATTACTTTAACCAAAGAGCATTATTGAATTAGTTGAATTTTTAAATACATGACAGAACCTGGACCATAATGCAGGCAAAATCTAGGTCTGCTTCTCCCTCTAGTATGGTGGATAGCTCACGATAGACCCTTTCAGCATCCAGGAGAACACAAAGTCTACGGATTATCAAAGCACCACGCCTACAAAACAGGAGGATAATTTGCAAAAGAAAAAGATGACACATATGCGTAATAATAATAAGCATAGCAAGTTGGCCATGTAGTCTAGATGAATGCTCAACTCAATAAAACAATTCATAACAATAATAATTTTCAAATAAAAAAAAAAGAAATTGGGGCTTGATGGGCCTAGAATCACCTCTCCAGAAGAGAATGATCAACCCGAAAATTATGCACCAGAAAAACAAGAAGCTGGCGGAAGTGTAGGGGATCTTGTGCTATGCATGCATGAATGTCAAGAACCCGGAGCACCACCTGGTGCAAAAATCCAAATTGCAAGATAAAATTAGTGTATAAAAACAAGAGCACATTTAGGTTAACACCATACTGACACAAATTTTAGTAAGGAGACAAAATATGTAAATAGTTGGCATAAAAAATCATAAAATCAAATAAGAACATTTTTAAATTTCAATTTTATGACAAATAACAGGCATTTGAGAGGAAGTGCAGAGGCTTCATTAGATACATTCCAACATAATAACATACATCTATATCTAATACATGGCAAAAGAAGTAAGGGCTAGTAATGACTAAGATGTTCTGATACATTCCCAGGAAGAAAATTTCCTAAGTATTGTGTCATGATCATCCATTCAGCCTAATAAAAGGACAAAAGAACCAGTAACAAATTATTGTAATATAACAATCCCCCCTTTTTTGGTTTTTTTTCAGGTCCAATGTTTTGACAACACAATAAACACATCCCACACCCTTAATCCCCAATCCCTTACAAAAGAAAAAGAAAAGAAAAAAGAGAGAATGGGTAGGATAAAAACCTCTTGCAAAAGCAAGAGTCTTTCTAGGTTCTTGGGAAGATGACTATAAGGATATTGCCACGTAAGTTAACTAGAAGTTTCAATAACAGTTCAATCCAAGAAACAAAATCATATATAGGGCACAACCTATTATAATTATATTGATACAAATATACAAAACAAGAATAAAGAAATAAACATAAACCCCTTAATGGAACAATGAAATACGAAAAACATAAGCAGGAGCAGAAATTTACCTCATCAGAAGAGTCAGATAGTGCTTTCAAAAGGGTATCAAATATGTCATTTAGAAAACACAAGACCTGTTTCAGTTAAAAACATTAAACATTGTTAATGGAGCAACAACAGCAACTGAATATAACATGCAAATTACAAATTTTACAGGAGGTTATGCATGTTTTATTTCGATTTATGCCAAAATTATCATGCCTTCACACAGGCAATGTGGTCTTTTTTTTCTTTTGAGAATGGCAATGTGGTCTTTTTGATACATGAAAAGATATCAGGTATGCAGCATCAGATGTGCTTCCACCAAAAGTGATAACAATGTTCCAAAAGAAGCTCAGTCAGGACTTTAATTGAGATGCAGAAACTATGCATATCCACGTAACAAAAGAAGAAATCAGGAAGATTCATTTTTAGCATCCATCAAGATCTCATTATTGACAATTACATCAAGTCTACTTGTACTTAAGTTCAGAATAAAAAAAGGTTAGTGGAAATTTAGATCAAGACCTTCTGTACTTTGCATCTACCTGTAATCTAACAGCTATCATCTTTTGTCAATGAAATAAGAATTATTACTAGGACTAAACATATTTTCAAATGGCAATGCATATAAAATAGAGATAGACACTCCTTGAAAGTTCAAAGTGAAGATAATGGCAGAAAAGAACATAAACATGATTATGAGGTATAATGTTAAAAGATTTCAGATTTATCACAAAGAGTCTTTAAATACTTCAACAGTAAATACAAACTTGAACTTTGATGAAGTTTTTGTGCGATGATGGTCAAAAACTAAAATATGAGAATACATGCAAACACAACCAGATATACATGAAATTCAAAATAACTGCTTCCACACCTCAGCACGATGTCTGTTTAAAAGGGTTGATATCCAGTGCAATGCTTCAATTCTAGTGAACTCCCACTCATTATCCAGTTGCCTGATCAGTCAAAAAAAGTACTTACTACAAAACCATTGTAAATTGAAATTATTTCGGGAATATCACAAGACAACATTTTAAGCACTTTTCTATAGCTCTTCATAATACAGAAGCACTATATATACCCATAGAAGTGCAAACCGCTAGTAACATTTCAAACCTAGCATTGTCCCAGGTAACAAAAACTACACCTCCTCACAATGGAGAGAATGGCTCCCACATCAAAAGCTTCTACCGGATCAGCCTGGATTGCACGAAGCTCCTCATTGGTTTCACGAGCAACCTAATATAAGAATATGAAGACAAACACACAAAATGAATACAAAGGAAACAACTCCACATGAGTTTCTAAAAGACATTGCAGATAGTTATTTAAGATACATTAAGGAGACTATAGAAGAAATAAACTTACCACTCTAATTTTCTCTTCTTTATCAGATATGCAGGGGAGAATGGCTCCCAGTATGTCAGCATAGTAAGGAATAAGCTGGTCTCCACCAAGTTTTACAAACTCATTTATCTGTACAATGAGAAAATCAAATTTGACTGTGTCTATGATATGAAAGTAACAGATGGAATAATTAGTCTATGAATAGCAAGAAAAGTAAAGAATATCATATAGAATGGACAAATATATTGACAAGGGAAGAATCTGTTATCAAGACTCTTTTCCTTTTTTGCTGAAAATGTGCCCCTTTCTACGGCAACATAAAGTCCAATTCTACTTACCCAAGTGATAGCTGTTAACCGAGTGAATTCATCAGGAGAAGCTGCCCTTTGCACCAGTATTTCAGCCATGCGACCATAATCTACAGACTTCAAGAGTAGCACTGCTTGAGTCAGAAAATTACAAATGAACAAAAGATTTTCTTTTTATAAGAACTTTGGTAAATGGTAGACAATAAAGCCATAATTTTTTTCACTAAAAAGGTTGAGTTATCAATCATGTTATTCCCATAAAAATGTGTCAACAAGACAATCTTGGCATAAGAAACTTTAACATAAGTGGCCATGGAGCAAATCCAACAATCAAAGAAAAAACTGTTAGTAGAGTCTTACTGGAGAGTTCTTAATCTCTTGGAGAAACTCTGAAAGTGCTGAATCAGCTTGTTGCCGTATTTCATGACTAGAATCACTTAACATATTAAACAAACCTGAAAGTTATCAAGAGCTAATTAATTAAAATAACGTCTCATAGAGACATAAAATATTAGTTTAAAAGACCAAAACTTTATTACCATCAAGAAAATCGGGGAGGAAACCCAACATGTCAATGTCTGGAACACTATCCAGTACAGTTATCCATCCAACCAAAAACTGACGGACATGGGGATTCAGGACAATTATGCGCTCTCTCAACAATGGTATAAATTCTTCAATACTGAAGAAAAAGCAACCATATAAATAACATTATAAAGATAGCTCTCAGAAAATTCAAACGAGACCTCTAAATATAACAAGATTCTTGGAGTGAAACTGGAAGCAAATAAAGCACACCTGAACTGGTCACTTTCAGTAACAATGTCCTGTTTCACATGGTAAAATAGAAGAGCAATAAATTCCCATGTTTCACATAATTATCAAGAGACTAAAATTTAGATGAGGGAGCAATTACTAACCTTCACAAGCCTATCTAAAAGGTGAGCAGCACTCTGTACGTTGGCATCTGGGTCAGAAGATAGCTTGCATAAAGCATCAAATATCTGATTAAAGAATATAATAAAATCTCCTCGGACAACCTGTATGGCAGAAGATAGCATATCCTGTCTGCTATTAGTCAAGAAAACAAGAAATGATAGCAAAAAACACAAGCAAACCAAATTCCTTTCACCTTTGCAATGTTATATAGAGCTTCACAAGCATAATAACGAACTCTGCCATCTTGGTCAGAAAAAGAATTAAGCACTGGTGGCACAATTTGCTGGCAGATTGCATCAAAAGCAAATTAATCACTAAATTATATACAAAAGAAGAGAGAAAAAATTTAAAAAATAAACAACTAACTACGAAAAATAACTGACTTTTTCTGATACAGGAAAAAGGTAATCATCCAACATCACAGCAGGAAATATTTTTCCAATTTTACTAGCTATTCTACTTGAGAAATAATAAAATTTGACACAACGGTAATCCTTTCTAACAGCGAAATAACACAATAATTTAAAGACCTACTCAATTATGTCATTAGATGTGCATCGTTGTCTAATTTAATCCCTTCAGTGTTTCCAATTCTTCTAGAAGTGCATGAGCATAGCTGAACAAATAAGAATGAGCTTGCATGTGCACATTAAACAAATAAGAAAATACATCAATGCATTACCAAATACCAGATTCTGGGGCTTGCCTGTCTACACATCTTTGATTATTGGCACACATGGAATTTTTTGCATATTTTTGTTTATTCAGTGATAAAATTTGCAGTGGTAGTCAAAATATAGAATACATTATATAACCACAGCAGCAAGTAATTTCTCTCGAAATTGAACTTGATTTCAGACAATAAAGATATTTTCTACAATAACCTATTCCTATAACCAAAATTATGCCCATAAAAGAGCCAAAAAAAATTGCTCAATAAATTATTTTTCCTTTACGTAAACAGATGCAAAATTAGATAGAAATAACAAATTATTTACCAGAGATTTTATAGTTTCCCATTTCTCTTAAGCCCAAAGGTAAACTAGTTCTGCCTTACCTCATGTTTCAAAGCAAACAGCAATCCCTTTAAACATGAATAAGCAAGAAGTCAGACCTATAGACTTTATAACCAAAAAGCTTTCCTTCCAACATTCCAGAAGATGAAAATATATACCACGATGATTTCATCTGATGGTACCATTGAAAAAAAAAAAAAAAAGATGACACAGCCTTCTAATCAAATTTGTTTCCAATTAAAACCATCGAAAGGTAACATACACAAGTGATGCTTAAAAGTAATTAATGCTGCAAAAGAACATCCTCAGTTGTCAGCCTGTCATAATCCTCAGAAAACCAACCTAGTCCATCTACTAAGTGGGACCGACAGGAGATGACGCTAAATGATCAATTCCCATTACCCAATCTAGCAGGTTTTATAATCCTTCAACTATATTAAAAGCAGTACTCTCAACTGGCTTGAAAAAACTCATTGATGTCTCCATGACTAAGCAATCTTAAATAAAGATAGCTCTAGAAAACATTGGTTAGAAAAGTTTTAGCTGCATCAATATAACAACTCTCACATCCACACAAGTGGCACAATAGCAACAGGTTAGAGAAGAACAACTATAGCAACTAAGATATCATCCAAGCTGTTTTCTACAACATATATGACAACTAGGAATGGGCTAAGCTTACAATAGTATCGTCACACAAATAATCATAATAACATTTGTTCGACAAAGAAATCCTGTCAATACTAGAAACTCTCAAACCAAGTCAATAAGAAGAGGATTATTTATATTTCATTCAGATTTAATAAAAAGCAATCCATGATTTCCCACGTTGAGTAGATGTACCTCCAACTCCCTACCAGAGATTAGAGCAGTCTGAAGGTCAAAAACTAAAGTCTGTTAAATCTAGAATGGAAAATCCAATAGCTTATGTCAGGTAATATATAAGGCACACCAAATGTATGCCTACTGCAGTTGCTTTATTAACAAACAAAGATGATACCCATATTAACAACCCTAAAACATTGCAATCATAGAACATAAATCTTTAAACCTTGAAACGGAATTCTTGGTTCTCAAATAATAATGTCAAGGTAAACATTATTCTACTTGTTTCTAATAAGATTTAAACATGTTAATAGACAGCTATTAAAAGGCAAACTAATCCTTACCTCAAGATGTTGGGTGGCTTCGGAACTCAACCCAACAGTGGCAGCAGCTAAACCTATCAAACCTCCCTGTATAAACACAACATCAAAATTCAAATTAAATACATACAAAATCTCATAAAAATTTTCAAAATTCAGAAAATTATTCATCGACCACCAACCTTCCGGTGATTGGCTTGTGGCGAGTAGGTAAATTCCGTTGTCAACAAATTGATCACCGCCGATATCTTCTCGTGATCTCCAGACGAAGCTAGCTGTTTCACAATTCCTTCAACCTACACATAATTATGATGACAAAAGAGTAAGCAATTCAATCGTTCAAAAAAAAGAGAGACCTAGAAATTAAATTCCATAGAAATTCAAAAAAAAAAAAGAAAAAAAAAACCTCAAGGGCCGCATTCTTGCGCTTCTCGTACAGCTTGTCGGAGAGATTACGGAGAACGGAGGTGGGAATCACGGAGAGCGCGTCGGCCATAACAGAAATTAAAAAACAAAAAAAAAAATCCTTGATTAAATCAAATTCGTTTCCTGATCTTTTCAAATTCGAATCTGAACATAGCTTTTTTTTACTTTCTTTTTCCCCTCTTCTGATCTTTTGATCTTTCGCTGTATTTTTTTTTCCGATCGATAAATTAAAATTGAGGGAATTCAGATTTGATGAAATTGAGTAGAAATGAATCGATTTTTTTTTTTTTTTATAAAAGGCGATCGTATTTTCTATTTTCTTTCTTTCTTCTGTACTTTTTTATTATGTAAAAAGTAAAAGCTAAAATACTAAAAAAAAATTTCAGCACTTTATTTAAATAAATTTTTATATTTCTTATTGAATTCAAATAAAAATTCAACTTTTAATTTGCATTTAAACGTGCTTATAATTTTTAATTTGTAAATAAATAAGATTATAATTTTTTATTTTTAACATTTAATTTATGCTTAAATAAGTATGTAATGCATGTAAAATATAGGTCAAATTTTTATTAACAAAAAATTAATTTTTCACATGACTATAAAAATAAAAAATTTTAAAATGAAAGTTTATTTAAATATAATCAAAATATATGAATTTATTTAAATGAAATGATAAAATTTAAATATTTTTTCAATACTTTAACCTAAAAAAAATTTAAAATTGAATTTTCTTTAGAAAGTTTGGGGTTTTGGATTGTCGCGTTTTTGTTTGTGTAAAATGTCCAGGGAAATCAACAAAGACAGTTGGAAGTGACGTGGTTAAAGTAAAATGACCAAATTACTCGCTGTTACTTTTTTAATCAAGCCAAGCGTGTGGACAATCTGGCCAGATAACTCAGTTTAAGGGTGAGACTTAAGGGTATAATTGAAATTTCATAGTGTTAGAAAAAGAGATACTTTATCTACCTAATTCTACCGATAATTAAATTATCTTTAGATTAAATCTACTTTTTTTATTTTTTAATGTTTTTTATAAAAGGAGATCCCGTTTACGTAAAAGAAAAAAATGTGTAAAAGTTAATATTTAAATTTAAATATGTTAAATATTATTTTTAAAGAATAATTATATGAATAAATTAAATTAAATTTTAGATTAATCAATATTTATTCAAGTTGTTGGATTAATCCACCGTTTTCAATGAATTCATAAGAATTTTTTGTAATTTGTATTAAAAATGATTTTGTTCGTAAATGTATTATATGATATATATAGCACTATATAGTAAGAGTTGTTGGGTAATAATTGTAATTTTTTTTCATGTAATCTTATGAAATAAAGAAAAAAAAAACCACTTGTTTTAACTTTTTTTAAAATTTTTTACTTTAATTATTTTGGATAAATTAGAAAAATAAAAAATATATATATTGTGATTAATGGTCAAATAAACGTGCTTCTTGAGGTCCAAAATTGACACTTCTATCAGTTACGTTTAATTTTCAAATCAACACTGTTAAAGAAGAAATTGACATATAACATTGTTTGAGAAAAATTCAAGAAAAATAAAAAGCGATTAAAAAAAAAAAAACTCAAATGGGTTAAGCGGCTTAAGCTTTTTTTTTCCATCGGCTTAGACCATATTCACATAACTATTTTATTCTTAATCATAAGATTGATTTTTTTTTTTTAACTGACTCAGTTTCCTCGTTAGTTTTGTTGATGAACTTCTAAATTTGGCAAATAATAAATTAATCGAAAGTTGAATTAGTAATTGTATAAGATTTTATTTATACGAGTGATAAAATTATTTTTAAATAGATTAAAAATAATAATAAAAATTATTATAATTACGATTGAAAAAAATTTTAATAAAAAATTTATATTGAATAAATTTTATTAAAATTTTTATTTAAATTTAACTAAAGATATAATGAGTTTAATTATATAATATCGAAAGTACGGTGAAAATTAAACATACCAGTGTTACAAAGATTACAAAATTAATTAATTATTGTTATATATCTCATAAAATAAAAAGATATGATTAATTAAATATGTAAATTTTTTATTTTAAAATTATGTGTAAACGTTGATACTTTATCAAAAAAAATTGATGACGTGACCAGTACAACCAACATCTTCGCAAGTTTTTAAAAAATTTGTCCTAAAAAAATTAAAAAACACGATCTTAAACTTCATAATATGAAGGTAATCCTTTCGAATTATATAAATCATAAAAAAAAAAAGACTCATCAAATGTAAATAATCTAAATAAAATTTTATTTGCATTTTAAATAAACCAAAAATTAGCTTTACAAAAAAACATATAGTGATATAAACCTTTGATGTGATGAAACCAGTGTAAGTGATATAATAAAATTATAAAATAAAATTAAATAAAATAATAATATCAAAAATAAAATAAAAATTTTCATGTCTTTCAATTTTGTATACAATTTGTATTTCTTTATAAAAAAAAAAAAAAAACTACAATCCACTTTAAAAAATTCTATACACATATGCTTATTTCCATATTTTTTTTATTTCACATGGCAAGTAGTAATGTTTCAAAAGTTTTAAATATCACATTATCATTAATCAATATTTATACTTTGTAAATTGTATGATTATTTTCTCTTTGCTAACTATTTTATGTGGTAAATTACATAATTAGTAACTTAATTATAATAGTATTCTTAAAATGATTACTAAATTATTAAATTTTAATTTAATCTCTAATAATATTATGTCATTTGTTAGGTAACATTACATGATAATAAAATGTATTTTTTGTTAATTTATAATATTATATAAACAATGTGATATGATATATGAGATGATATAATAATATATCGTGACATATCAGATGATGATATCATTAAAGATTAATAAAATATTAATTTAAATTTTAATGATTAATTTTAAAAATATAATATTTAGATAAATATTAAAAAACGATTATAATTAAATAATCAATGATATATTTTTCCTCATTTTATGATTATTTGTTTAGCAAATACCTAATGGGTAATAGGGGAAACAAAAATTGGATGAAAACTCAAAAACCTGAAGACCCGCCCGCCAATGCCAAAAATGAAAAACCCTTGAATAAACCCTGTTTTTAAGACTCACGCTTTAACGCTCCCTTCCCTTTCTTCTTCCTCCCTTCACTGTCACTAACCGCTGCCTTTCCTCCTGTGATTTCAATTAAAAAAAAAAAATCTCTTCACCCAAGACCAAAATCAATCTTGGGTTGCATTCGATTTCACGCCCCTAAAAGAAACCCTGGGGCTCTTCTTTTGAACCAAATCACATTCTCCCCCTTCTGATTCTAGGGTTTTTTTCGATGTCCTGGGAGGAGGAGATTGTGATTCGTGATGTCTCCAATGCGGGGCTTGTTGTCAGCGACCGCATTGGCCGTGAAGTGGCGGCTCAGTTGGACCTCGAGGAAGCTCTGGAAGCTTCTAGATATGCCAGCCATCCTTACTCCACTCACCCCAGAGAGGTAAACTTTTAGCCAATTCCCCAAACAAAAACGAAGTCTTTAAATTTTTTCTGAGTCATTCAATGAAAAATTGATGAAGAGTTGGGTCTTTTAATTTCATTTACTTGGTCAGAAGAATTTGAAGTTAGCTTTTTTTTTTTTTTTCATTTAATGTGGAAATTTGTAGAGGTTCAAATATTGTTCAATCTTATTTTGTTCCATGTAGGTACTAAGCATTCAGTGCGAATAAAATATTTCTTTGTCATTTGATATAGCCGTGTAGTAAATTTGTTGTATTAAATTAAGAATGCTATGTTTAAGTTTCATTAGTGGATGTTGAATCATGCTTATTTTGCCAATTCCATGTTCGGCATTCAGTTAGTCTGCCTAGATGCATGGTGCAAATTTACATTTCAGTATGTTTCGAGCTCATTTCATGTCCCTTCCTTATCTCTTTTATTATTTTTAATCCAACATCTTGGATGGCGCAATTTGGCCTGTCTAAATAGGTTGCATTGTTTGAGATGAGTTGCCCTCCTTAATAATGAAACTATCTTTCATATTCCACTGCAGTGGCCTCCTTTGGTTGAGGTGGAGGATACTTGGGAGCTGCCTCCTGTACTCATCGAAAGATATAATGCAGCTGGCGGAGAAGGAACTGCATTATGTGGCATCTTTCCAGGGATACGCAGGGCATGGGCATCTGTGGATAATTCTTTGTTTCTTTGGCGTTTTGACAAATGGTGAGATTTTGTCGTTTCCTTTGTCTAGTGATTTGTAATTTATGAGATCACCCTTTCGATTTTTGTGAGTTTTAGTTGGCTGCTTATTGAATATCTAAAAAATGATAAACTATTTTGATGGAGGAATATGGATCTCTTAGTAAGAGAAATAACTTGGTCGAAGGCAGCATTTGATTTTACATAATTTTCTAAATTGGAAATAGATTTGATAATTTGTAAGCATTTAATGTTTGAAGAGGTTTGATAGCAAAAAGAAAAAAAAAAAAAAAGAAGACAAAGTGGCCAATTTGCCAAAATAGGAAACATCAGGCAATTGAATTATCCAGTCAGCCTTTCGCTGCATTGATGGTCATGAAAATCTCTTTGCAAGATATTTCTTTGAATTATCTTTCGTTGGAGGGTTCAATAATTTATTCAAATGTGGCATTTTTGGACTAATATGTGCAATTTGTGGATTAGGGTTAAGACTTCCAAGTCAATCTGAAAAATCACCCAAGAAGAATTCATTCTGAAAATAGCTTGGGATAATAATGAGGTTGTCTGGTTGTAGGCAAGAGGGTAGTGAGGTGCTGGAATTTCTGGACAGCAAGTTAAAAAAATGTTTGAGGAATGAGGGTTAAAATTGAATGAAGGTGAATTAGAGGTTTGGAATTGTTCTTTAAGGGGTTTGAAAGACAGAACAGGGACTGTCTGTTCATTTTATTATTGTTGGAAAAAGAGAAATTCAACAAGTAGGCTAAGAGATCAACCTAAAGGACTTGCCTTTGCTCCTAGGGTTTTCTGTTCAATCACACCTCAGAAAGAAGAAATTCTCTTCCTTAGGAATAGCTTAAATCTTCTTACAAGGGTGGTGGTACTTGGACATCTTTTCTTAGAAAAAAAGTGTTTACATCTTTTCTTAGTTTTTCAGAAAAAAAGTGTTTGTCTACTTCTATCTTGTCTAGACATTTATATGATATTTATTTGTTTCCCATTCTTAACATCTTTTCTTTTGATTAGGGATGGCCAATGTCCCGAATATAATGTGGAGGAACAAGCCATATGCACTGTTGGCCTCACCAAATCTAAACCTGGCATTTTTGTTGAAGCTATACAGTATCTTTTAATACTGGCAA